CCGCAAAATCAAAAGAATTACACTAAAGGTTTCCACAAGTAAGATGTTTTTTATTCTAATGTCACAGAATATTTTATATTTCTATTCATCAAAGAATTGTTTCTTGAGAAAAATCAGTATATTAAAATGATTTCTGAAAGATCAATCTGAGACTGAATACCAGTGAGTGTTGGGGAAGTTACTTTTAAAAGTAATGCTTTACAATATTGCATTACTCCCTAAAAAAGTAACTAATTGCGTTGCTTGGTTACTTCTTATGGTAAGTAATGCTTGAATGAATATGCAAATTAGCCCTGCCTCCACTCACTCGCACCAGCTTAGAATACCTGATCCACTCGGTCAACTTAAATGTAGTAAACGCTGCATAAATGCAAGTGGAAATTCTGGTTTAATTCAGCCACATATGTTTGAACCAGACACTGATTCAGAAGAAGTGGATGAGCGAATTATACAGGCTCGTCTACAAGTTGATGTATCAGAATGGTAATGCGTTTTTTGTATTGCTCTCTACTACGTCGGACAAATAACGGTAATTAATACTAGGTTAGCCTTTGGCTTGACTACGGTAGCAAACAGCTAATAATGTGTTGCTAATGCTACACAGACCACGTCACCATCTCAGTCTGCCTTCTAAAAATCAGTATCCTTAGAAACACTTTGAACAATTTAGAATGTTGGTGGAGAAAGGCATATAGTTCATAATAACATCGTAATATACATCATATACATAATTCACCCACTATATTGCTAAATGTACAACATAAAAATATACCAGCTTAACCTGGCTTCTCTTGAGACTTCCTTGCTTCACGGCATAGTAATGATGAAATGCTAAAGCCTGTCCGCATCTTGACGTGATTGGTTTGTGACGTAGTAGAGAACAAGGGTGATGTTTGAGTCTGTTTTTGGTTAACTGCAGTTTTAAGGAGAAAATACTCAGCAATTGTGTTGACTTATTAATTTGCACATGGTTTGTCTTAAAGCATATTTAAAAACACCACATAGACATATAAACAACATTGGTTAATAATGTGAGATTAAATACATTACGTATATTTGTGTTATTTAACTATTGCAGATTTATGTAATATTCTGAGTTTGCATTTCACTGTTTTCATTCTTTTTGAGTAACGATGCTGAAAATTCAGCTTTGCATCACAGGAATGAATTACATTTTAAAATGTATTCAAATAAACAATTTTATTAAATTGTAAAAATATTTCACATAATTTCTGTTCTTACTGTATTCTATCCAATAAATGCAGCCTTGGTGAGCATAAGAGACTTTAAAAAACATTCAAAAACCTACCAACCACATGCTTTTGAACAGTAGTGTATGATTTGCAGGAAATGAAATATTTTTTGTGGGTCCTTTTAGATGTTTTTGCATTATTGTTTCTCATTAATGTAATTAAAATAATATATATTAGTTATATGTAAAAGTAAAGTGTTTATACATAACGTTTGTATTTGTTACACTGCTTTTAATTTATGCTGGTTTTAATAATAAAATGACTCTTAATGATTTTGTTGTATATGTTTTTGTTTATATTTTTGTTGTTTGTGTGTATATATGTATATGTGTGTGTGTGTGTAAAATCATTAATACAGTATATTTTAAAATATACATAAAATCTTTTTTTGTTGTTGTCTTGCACAGCAAAGAGAGGCCCCATATATGATGTATCCTGGAACCCCAACTCTTCTGAGTTTTGCGTGGTTTATGGTTTTATGCCTGCCAAGGCAACTGTCTTTAACAGCAAGTGTGAGTCAGTGTTCGACTTTGGCACGGGCCCCCGCAACGCAGCTTTCTACAGCCCCCAGGGTCATATCCTCGTCCTCGCTGGGTTCGGGAACCTGAGAGGGCAGATGGAAGTTTGGGACGTGAAGAAATACAAGCAGGTGTCGAAACCCCAGGCTGAAGATACCACACATTTCTTCTGGTGTCCTGACGGAGAACACGTAGTGACGGCGACCTGCTCCCCCAGGCTCAGGGTCAGCAATGGCTATAAGATCTGGCATTACACCGGGACTGTGATGTACAAGCATGAAACGCCATCAAATAAAGAGCTCTGGGAAGTGTTATGGCAACCCTTCCCAACTGGAACCTTCCCAGAGAAGCCAGTGAAATACCAGGCGTTGCCAAGTGAGCTTGGCAGCACTGAAGCCAAACCAGCCCAGGCGTATCGGCCACCCGCTCTCCGCAACAAACCCCAGACAGCCAGCTCCAAACTAGTAAGTCTGTGTCATACACAGCCCTGCATCTTGAAAAATATTCTGCTAATTTGCAAAAAAAAGAAAAAAATTGTAATAACAATTTGATGATGCTGAGTTCGAAAATATCAATGTCAACTTTGCATCGCATAGTTTTTTTGTTGTTGTTTTTTTAATGAGAATGCGGATATTTCAACTCAATATACACTACTGTTCAAAAGTGTGGGGTCATTATGCTTTTATAATGTTTTTTAAAACAAGTCTCTTCTGTTCACCAAGGCTACATTTAATTGTATCAAAAATAGATATTACAATTTAAAAAAACTTTTTTCTATTTAATATATATTTTTAAATGTATATTATCCCTGTGATGCAAAGCTGTATTTTCAGCATCATTACTCCAGTCTTCAGAGTCACTTGATCCTTCCATGGAAGGAAACTATGATGCACTACCACTCAAAAGTTTAGGGGACATACGATTTTAAAATAAATAAATACATTTAATAATTAAAATATAATTAATTGTCAATAATAATTGATAATTGAGCGGCAAATCAGCATATTAGAATGATTTCTGAAGGATCGTGTGACACTGAAGACTGGAGTAATGATGCTGAAAATTCAGCTTTGCATCCCAGGAATAAATTACATTTGAAAATATATTCAAATAGACAAGTTATTTTAAATTGTAATAATGTTTCAAAATACTATGGATTTTATTGTATTTTTGATCAAATAAATGCAGCCTTGGTGAGCAGAAGAGACTTGTTTCAAAAACATTATAAAATCATACCCACACCAAACTAAATGCAGCCTTGGTGAGCAAAAGAGACTTCTTTCAAAATCATTAAAAATCTTTTGAACTGTAGTGTATTTATCAGCATTAATGCACGTATCAAAATAACAAAAGCAGTCCAATGTCGAAACTTTTGACAAAATGAAGTATTCAAAATGTATCATTTAACTTTCAATTTGCAAAGTAGAGGGAAAAATGTGTTCAAAAACGTTGTTTATAAATAAATACGCTGCTTTCACAAAATCTGTAATTTTTTGTCGCTGTTTGGATGTAGTAAACCACCCACAGATGTAGCAGCATTTTCTTCTGTCACTCGCCATAATTCTAACCTTGAAATCATGATTAGGCAAAAAATTATGTCATACATGTTTTTCTGGTGATTAAGAGATAATACAAGACCCTGCAAATGGTTGTCGAAATGCACTTCGTATTTTGTGAGAGTGTGACATGCCTGATCAAAACAGGCACTATTTTTTTAAATCAGCACCCCAAAACTAGTAAGAAAAAAGTATAAGTATTCATTCAGCAAATATGATGCAGGGCAGCATTATGAATGTCCCGTGACCAGAATAATGGCAGTAATATTTCTATCCAAGCATGAAGAGGAGCTGCCGCAGAACATGAAACCTGGTGCTGCCGGAGAGAAGCAAATCTCTAAAGCTGCTTTGAAAAACCAGAAAAGGCGAGAAGCAAAGAAAGCAGCTAAGCAGGTACATGTGTTTTTAATGTTCAATAAACTATACAGAGGAATATTTAACTCAAAGTGATGCTTTATATTAATTCAGGAAATCAAGCCTGATGAAGCTCCGCCTCCAGAAGCAGACTCCACCCCTGCCACTCATGTGACTTCTAGCTTTGGAGACCCTGAAACTGACAAAAAGATCAAGAATTTAAAAAAGGTAAATGTTTGGAATATGTTTACAATCAAATAAGATAGGCATATACACACAGATGCAGTCTTCTTGAGGGGAAAGAAACTAAATTCTGCCGTTTATTTTTGACTTGGAATAGAGCACAATTCGACCTACTTTTAGGTTTCATTTTAACCTTTTTTATTTATACACCTATTATGTAATCGGTAGAAAATTAACTTCTTACCTTTATTTTGAGTAAATTGTCTCTTTTCTTGATGGAGTAAACCCTGAAAAGGTCTTATTTAAAAAAAGAAAATCTTTAAAAATGTATTCTGTATGAATACACCAAAAAAATACATGTATATGGGTATGATGCAGTATATTACCTGGTATAGTATAATTATAAATAAAATATGCATATATCCATTATTGATTTATTTGCATATCAGAGTCAGACTTGATGTTTTTAGTTTCATAATGTGATTATTTATCTGTTAGAAACTCAAAGCCATTGATGAACTGAAGGACCAGCAGGCTGCCGGCAAAGTAATGCAAAAAAATCAGGTACTATAGCTTTATAATCTCATCAGCACATCTTAATAAATATTTTAAATTATTTTCATTTGTATCATTGTTTCTGATTTGATTACATCCATTGCAATGATTCATGAGATGAGTAGTTTTTAAGAATTAAAACTTTTCTAAGAACATAAGAATTTTGTAATGCTTAATCGCAAGAACCTTAATAATGATTTATTATAATTTATTTTATTTTATTACAGCTTGAGAAGATGCAGAAGGAGTCCCAGCTGTTGAAAGAGCTTGAAGATCTTGAATTAGGATTGTAAACTCACTTTACCAGTTTTTCACATTGGTCATCAATTTTCAAACATTGCTTTGTCATACTGCTATGAATATGTATAGAAGATGATTCTTTTTTCACGAATTACTCATGAACAACAAATAAAAGACTGTTTTGCTTCTTTGAACATGGCTAAAATAATAAGAACTAAATTCTCAAAAGCAATATTGCTATGCAATGTGACGTACAGCACGGGAGAGCATCCATGAAATACTAAATAAAAATGTTTAAATTCAAACTGCGTGACTTTTATTATGTCGGTTGGGGAGCCGGAAGTGTTCATTCCTGTTTCAGTGTGAAACTGAAGCAGTCGCAGATTTCAGCACAAACGCAGATGAAATTATCATCAAATAAACTGAAGTGGACGAACTAAAACCAGCCGATAATTCAGGTTTGACGAGTGCGCTCTTCATTACACTGAGTGTTGTACATGTGGAGTGTTTTATTGTGTGTTTATTTGTGATATTTAAATGAGCCGGTGAGGTGGTGTTCATATATGTTCGTATAGCACATGCGTGTGTTTGTGTTTCTTTTTACTCATACCATCAGTTGTTTTACGCTCTTTTACTTTTAACTTCTACATAACTATATTTGTATTGATTTCACACGTTTCGATGAGTTTCGGGCTTGTGGCATTAAGCAGTTCAGCCATTTCAGCAGCCACAAAGGCGATGCGTCAGTTTTTATTGTTTTATCTGATAGTTTTTCAGTTGTTTGTTTTTAAAATTGGGCTTTACATTTAAACTTGATCGGTATAAATCAAACATTCCGTTTAGTGTCAGGGAAATGTAGTTCAGTATTCGATTAATTTATAGATCTAGTTGCATTAATGTGATGGTAATACGCAGCCATTTTAATTTTTATTTAAAATGAAAAATGCATTACTTTATGTATTAATTGTTAAGTTTAAACTTAAATGTTGCTCTAGACATTTTTTTATTCTGTCAAATGGATATTCTGCTTTACAAATGTGTTAATACATCAGGATTTGCCTCATATTTTAAAATGATTATGTGACGACATTATTCATGTTGTTTTTGCTGGAGTTCACGTGCAGGCTATGATATTTTAAGATAGGTTGCATGTAAAGCTGGTAAACCTCACATAAAGTATTTAATTTACTTTTGTAAAGACAAAACATTGAGACGTTAAGAAAAGATATATGTGGCACATCTTTCCCCTGTAACTTGTAAGTCCTAGGCTATATCTTGACAGCACGTCAGCACATATTTGAATTTGAGCATGAATTAAGATTTAAATCTAGTTGGTTGTATACGTCATGCATTTGAGAATAAGTATGAAGGTGTCGTTTTGTTTTTCCTCCTGTTTTAGAGTCTGGTACACTTGAATGGACACGGTGCCCACAGGTAGAGAGGTAGAGCTGGTTTCTGCTTTTATTGATCCTGAAATATTGAATTGGACGGGAAGGAAAGCAACTGTCGGCTTAAATTTGTTCTGTTTGGTTGTGATTTGTTTAGTGAGACCAAACCAACTTACCCGAAGCTCCATTATGCCCGTGAAAAAGAAAAGAAAGTCATCCGGCTCAGAAGATCCCAGCATCAGAAAGTGCAAAATCACCAGGTAGAAATATGTCTGTCTTTCTCTCTGCATCTTTCACTCTGCCATACATATTCACTGTATCATCCCCTCAGTTACTGTAGGACACAAACTCCAGGACGGATGGTAAACCCAGAGGATCAGTTTTCTAACAAGAAATGTCTTGCCTGGTTTTACGAATATGCAGGTATGTGTGATTCAATGCTTTCCTTAAAGTCACCATGAAATCAAAAGGGACTGCTAAATCCATAAATCCATGCACATAATTATTTTTTTAATTCATGTGCCTCATAATCTTTAATCAAAATAACTTCCCCTCTCTTGCAACGACATCGCAGCAATAGCAAACCATAACGATCCAATCGTGTCCAATTCCAGATGTACAAAATCCTGCCCTGCATTATTTTTCTTGTTTAAGAAGCCGTATACTTGGATATACGTCATACTACATGCCGACTTTTAACACATGCAGCCAGTTAACATGAAACTGCATTTTCAAATTATTTTACTTCCGTAATGTGACATTTCATTTCTCAGTGAAAACAGTATTTATCAATAAAAAATGAATGTCAGTGCATGATAAATGTATTTGAAATGATTATTGTTATGTGTGTAGGGTCAGATGACATTGTCGGACCAGAAAGCATGGAGAAGTTCTGTGAGGACATCGGAGTTGAGCCAGAAAATGTTAGCAAAATTCATTCATACATTTCATACTAATTCCTGAAGTTAGATTTTAAGGGACAGTCTTCTGTCCAAAATATGAGGAGAAATTAGAAATAATGCGCACTGTGTATTTGTGACCCTTCAGATTGTAATGTTAGTTTTAGCCTGGAAACTTGAAGCAACAAATATGGGATTTTTCACAAAAGAAGAGTGGCTGAAAGGAATGACATCACTACAGTAAGAATGAACTTCACGTCACATGCCTTGCTTGGATATCATGAGAAATCAAAAATGTTTTATGATTTTAGCATTTAACTTCACTTCTCTCTTTACAGTTGTGACTGCACAGAGAGATTACAAGGCAGACTGGATTATTTACGCTCTCAACTGAATGACCCAGTTATATTCAAGAGCATTTACAGATATGCCTTCGACTTTGCCAGGGTGAGAGGCTTTTTTTAGTAGGACGAGAAAAAAAAAAGCACTTCCATTTTAAGATAAATGAATCATTTTAAGATAAATATTGCGTGCATCTTTTTCTATTTTGCAGTGAATTTGTGTCTGCTTAAGGCTGGAATACACTGCACCACTTTTGCTCATTTTTTTGCCCCGATTTGCAGTCTTGATGAGTCTACAATAGTTGCCGAAACATGTTTCGAATATCTTGAGACGATTTTAGAACACGTCGTATAGTGTATGGCGCGCCGCTGCTGAAACCGAAGCTGTCCTCTATCAATACAAATACATTAACAATACTAAAGTAAATAAACAGAACACGCATAACAAATTAGCCTACATTTTTGACTCATCAGCACATATAAAACAACTGACTGCGCCACTCACCTCTAACTCCCGTTGCAATCTGTAAAAAAAGAATTAGTACGAGTCCATCTATACTGACCGTGTCTACCCACCCAAGGCCGCATCTAAATGCGCTTGACTCGTTTTTTTCCCCGTTTGCGACTCAACACAGAGTCGCTACAACAACTACTGCGGTCATCTCCTGCACATCCATGTTTGTTTCATACAAGCAAGGAGGTGCGTGTTTCTGTCTGAGCTGAGGTTGTTGTTTTTGGAAGTCTGGTACTGTATGATCCTCAGTCGTTTATTGTATGATGCCCAGTTTTTTCTCTGTAACCATTTACAAAGTCATCAAGTGTATAATGCCTAGTGTTTAAAAATCGTGTGGTGTGTTCCACTTCCAGCCTTTGCTGATGTTCTTTCAACATGTTCATCTGATTTTGTCTGTAGGATAAAGATCAGCGCAGTCTTGATATGGACACTGCAAAGTCCATGTTGGCGCTGATCCTTGGAAGAACGTGGCCTCTGTTCCCAGTGTTCCACCAATTTCTGGAGGTTTGTCATCTCTTCTCCAAACCAGAGGGTTTGTCAAGCTCCAAAGAGGATGAAAAAACACCATTTAAAGCCAAACTGAACCAATTTTTTTTTTTTTTTTGGACTATGCATTTAAAAACTCTGAATTTAGTAGTATTTGTTCTTTAATAACGTGTCTAACAGAAGTATCTTTCCTCTAGCAATCAAAGTATAAAGTCATGAACAAGGACCAATGGTACAACGTCTTAGAGTTCAGCCGTACAGTTAACACAGACTTGAGCAACTATGATGAAGATGGAGCCTGTAAGTTTACGATTGTCTTGTTGAGCTGCACGATCAATCGCTAAAAGATTGCGATCTCGATTCAAACACAGACGCAATCTTATTCCTACATGATAACGATTCGGCTATGTCTATTCAACCTTTGACAAAGTCATATTCAAATCTGCTCTGCCGCCAGAGAGAGCAGTTGTCATGTATAGGTTACATTAATTAATTTTATCACAGAAGTACTGGGATAAAAGTTCATAGTTCATATATAGACCCTGTCTGATGTCTATGGTAGCGAAAGTAACTTGATGCGTCAAATAAAGATCAGTTGCATCGTTACACCAGTAGGTGGCGACAAGTGACTGTTTAAAAAATGTATTTGTCATTGAATCATTCAAGAGATTCAGTAATGAAACTATTGTTTATGAGTGAAAAGTGGAGCAGTTTTAGGAGTCATTGAATCATTCATTCAAACTAGTTTTTTTTTTAAATAATTCATTCAAATTAATTAAAAAAAAAATTAAATGCACTGCAGCAATTAACATTTTGTCAGAACGTCTAGTAAATTACATGTTATTTTGTTTAGTTGTCTAAAAAAAAAAAATATTCTCAATTTATCCAGAATCTTGCAGCTCTGTTGTCTTGTCATCTGTCCATTCATCTTTCCCAGTTAAATTGCTAATGATCTCTGTCTCTGTGCTGATTTCAGGGCCAGTGATGCTGGATGAGTTTGTGGAGTGGCATAAAGCCAGAAATATTGCATTATAGCACAACCAGACGCTGAATTAAAGCACATCAGATGGTTTTTTTCGGTGTGCCCCAGATGCAGGCAAACCTCTCGAGGATTGCTTCAAAATGTCCGATGCTCAATACGGATCATCACTACCCAGAGACTCTTACAGTGTTACTTAAAAAGGAAAATGGCTCGGAGGAATCACAAGACAAATAAAAGGGGAAATATTTTTTCTTATGTATTGATTTGTTTCAACAGTTCTATTGCCAGTGTTGTATGATTTGTCTGAGAGGGAAACAGTCTTTGTAATTTTTGTCCCTTTCATTTTTTTCCCCTTAAAGTTTTACTTTGTTTATAGTGTCTTGAAAAGGTAATAAAAAAAAGCAGTTGTAAATAATTTTTCTTCTGGACATTAGTGGCATACAGCACTGTTAGAGCATTAAAGCATTATTCAACAATCTAAATGAAGCATGAATAAAAAGATTTACTTTCACACACATTACTACTCAAAAGTTTGGGATCAGTAAGATTTTATAAAAAAATATTTTTAAAGTAAGTCTCTTATGCTATTGTAGACTGCATTTATTTGATCCGAAGTACAGTAAAAACAGTAATATGGTGGAATTGTATTACAATTTAAAATAACTAAATTTATTTAAAAATGTAATGCATTCATGTGATTCAAAGCTGAATTTTCCAATAGCGTCTGGCTGCAGACAAGTGACGTCACTTGCACTCTCGGACTTGCACGCTCAGACACGAGCGCTTCCTCTGCAAGTGACGTCACTTGCACTCTCAGACACGAGCGCTTCCTTTGCAAGTGACGTCACTTGCAATCGACGCCTGCTCTCTACGGTACGGAACGCGATCGGAGCCAATAGTCTTTAAACGAAACCCGTGAAATTTGACCGCGTCAACACGCAGTGTTTGTCCGCGGCAATTTTTTACGTATTTCTTTTGAACGCGTAGACACGCTCATTTTGGTCATTTGTCATTTTGTTGACAGTTTTTTTTTAAATTGCTAAAACACTACAAGTGGAATTTGAGGCTCACTCAGTGAAACCATTCACGCATGTACCCAATCTTTAGACCAAGTCTGCAAAAATACAAGGACATTAGGCTATATGCTTTGCACTCAGTTTGCATTTGAAAAACAAACTATTTGCAAAACTCTAAACACATTTCTCTACATTACACACATCATTCAAAACTAACAGCTCTTGTGTTTCATTTGGGAAACACTGGCATTTAAATGCCACATTAATTTACTGATGACCTACAGCCAATAATCATGTGGGAAAACACTTGTACATAAATTGATCACTTAGAAATCAAAACTCAGTTTTGAGAAAGAAAGAAATTATTTTTACTATTATTATATTTTTAATTATTTTCAAGACATTTTGGACAATTTCCTGCTCCCAACTTTGAACAGTTTGTAGATGAAAAACATCAAGATGATGCATTTTTTTCTTTTTATTGTAAATGTCAATTTACAGTTATTACACACAGTTAATGTGCAAAACAGACAAATACAAGGTACAAATAGACAATATACAACATATATAAAAACACATTAGCACATTATTCACTTTGCTCTAGTGTAGTTCGACAGTTTACCTTTAATTTCATGACATCGACTGCATGTTCAAGAAACATTTGCATGTCATTCATTACAGTAAAGATGAAGCAAAGGGTTCCAGAGCATCGATTCTGTCCTGTGGAAACTCAGCCTTCTCTAATCTCTCAATGGCTTCCGCAACGTCTTGTTCCTCCATACACACTACTTTGGGCAAATGAACAGAACCATGCAGTGCACTAGATTGATCCAAACACCACTTGCTGGCTATCTTCAAATCTGGCATCAATCGACTCTGTGAAATGACACGGAGAACAAGGGATTGCAAGTGACGCCACAGCCGGTAGCGGAGAGCAGGTGTCGACTGCAAGTGACGTCACTTGCAGCGGAAGCGCTCGTGTCTGAGCGTGCAAGTCTGAGAGTGCAAGTCTGAGAGTGCAAGTCTGCAGCCAGACCCTTCTCGAATTTTCAGCATCATTACTCCAGTCTTCAGTGTCACGTGATCCTTCAGAAATCATTCTAATATGCTGATTTGCCGCTCAAGAAACATTTCTTATTATTACAAAGAAAAAATAAAACAGTTGTGCTACTTTCAATTTTGTGTCTACTTTTGCTCAATTTATAGCATCTTTAATAAAAATTAATATTGTTTAAAAAAAGCTTACTGACCCCAAACTTCTGAACAAGTACTGTATAAATCTTTTTGATTACATCTCTAATATAAGCATCAAAATTACTACAGTTGAAAGAACTTGTCCGTATAAACATTTAACTTACAATTTAAAGACAAACACATAATTGCTTGATTTTAATAAACACTTGACAAGGATTTTGACAATGACACTTAAGTCAATTGTCCAATCAGACCCAGTTTTCTGCCAATGCTGATCTCAAAATGAACCTTTTCAAACGTTTTTACAATGATTGTTTCCTCCATTTTACAATGTCTCTTGACTTGTTTGTGAGACTCCTCCTGTAGCTGAAACACCGTTTTCGTGGGAAGGAACATCTGGTTGAGTCGACTGGCTCTCGGCTGACTCTCCAACTGGGTTGAAGTCTGCCTGTTTCATGATGGCGTTGAGTCTCGTCAGTGATTGGGTTCTCAATTTTGGCCTGACCTCGACGCCACCCTCCATTCCAGAGGCTTTGATGTGGCTGTATTGATTCCCTTCTTCATCATAGTTGTACACTTTAATGATGCGGCTCTTCTTCTTTGGATGTGGGCTAACCACTGATCTGAACTCTTGGTTTTGTTCTTCACCTTCACAGCTCTGAGTTTGGTTTGCATCGTCCTCCCCGCCATCTGCATTTTCTACAGCTTCTACATCATTAGCGTTACTGAGTTCCTGATCAACCAGACCAATGTCCACAGTGTCTTCTCCAGTGCTGTGGTTTTTATGAAAGAACACTGTCTCAGGTTGTTCTCTGGTGGTCTGTACGTTGTTTTGTCCACCGATATGATTGTGATTTTCTTTTCTATAAGGTATACAAGCCCTTATTGTTTGTAGACACTTTATTATGTAGGATCTACTGAACGCACCAAGTGTGAAGGCCACTAAAAAGCTCACGATTACAGATGATGACACAGCCGCCGCGAAATGGCTTTCTGACAGCGTGTCGGTGTAAACCTCTCTGGTCTTCCTCAGTTTCTTGATGTTGGGATGTAAGCCCACTACACTGATTCTGTAAGGCACAATTGTTTTGCTCATCTTGTCCAAATGGATACAGAAATAGAGTCCGTCATGGCTGGATGTGGCCCTTGAAATCCTCAAAGTGCCATTGCATGTTTCCACTGGGTCTTTGTTTTGGTGGTTGCAACCGTTAAATAATCCAAAAGGTGTCTGCCACCACTGTGCCAGCACTGCAAAGGGAAGAATACAACAATCAAGAGACACTTTTCAAAGCTTGAAACACTTAAAAATGGAGCTACATTCTTGTTCTTTTTCAATAAATGATCAGTGAAAGAAGGCACTTAACCTTCACAAAATATTCATCCACAACTACAAATATTTTTTATTTTTTTTTATTTTTTGCTTGACATAAAATGTTAACTGAAATTAAATAAAATGTAAAGTTGATCACTTTCATTTAGTTTAATAATTTCATTCACTTGATGTTCACTTGAATATAACAAAAACTGAAATAAAATAGATAAGAACTAAACACATTTAAAATAATTTTAAAAAACCCAAATTATTAAAACTTTAACTAGAATTAAAATGTAACATTAAAATAATTGAGATTTGAATATATCAATGATGTTTTAAATTCATAAAGAAAGAAATGTCGTGCTGCTCACCTTCATTTCCTTCATCTCTGCACTGAAGCACCAGCGTTTCTCCTGAATGAATGTGAAGTGGGTTTTCTGGTCTGACCTGCAGATGGTTTGTTTGACTCAGAGTCTCTGGCGACTGTTGAGAGCTTCTCTCATGAATGTCACTGTGTTCTGTTCTGCTGCTAATAATACATGGAGAGTTACAAAGGAGAATCAAACTCAACAAAGAGCTGATTCTGAACTCCATCTCTAGAAAAAAAAAGAGACGTTCATTAACTTCAACTATACTGCTAGTGCTATACCAATATTATGGCAATAATTTGATATAAAACTGCTCTTTGACCCAAGTCATACAGCAGCCCAAATGAGTACGACTGTGGTTTGTCTTCACAAAACACACACAAAATCTGAAGTTGAGTAAGAAAATCAGAAACTGTTATCATTTGAAAAATTAATTTATAAACAACACAGATATATGACACATATTTATAAGTATCATTCAGATCAGCCCGTCAAATACTCACAGAATGAGTCTTGTAGTTCTCAAGAGTAAAGTACAGTCCTCACATGACAGCCCTTATATTTCATCTCGTGCTCCATGTTTAAAGATTAACATTTTTCTCTTCAATAATAGACAGGATGTCATGTGGATGAGAATGCCAGTGGATTGTCTTAAGGGTTTGAGTTGATATAACAGTTAAAGTCGGTTTATGGTTGAACAAATCTGAGTTTCAGGTAATTAGTAACATTCTTTATCTTTGCCACCGTGATAAATTTATGCAGAGTAGCAAATAAGAAATTGACGAATTGTATCCATTAAATGCAATATAACAGCAGAAAAAATCCATATAGCAGAGAAAAAGGCCATATTTCGGATGAATTGCTGATGAATTTCTCTCTGTGGTGCATCGCTTTAAAAAATTGGGTGACATTAGGGTTGCCACCTATGTCTGATAAAAAACCGGGACATATTACCCGCCCAACTGGGGGGGGGGGGGGGGGGGAGAGAGGGGTGTTTGAAGACCAAAAATGAACGGTTGAACACCAAAATTTAAATTTTAACTGTAGGCCCGCCTATACACCAAATGCTGCGCAAAAATATATCCTATATTCGCGTATTTTCAGATTTTTGTTCATGATTTTTTTTTTGCCCCTTTAATAAGCATTTAAAATATTCACAAATTATATGGATAAAATGGTTTTCTAAGGCCAAACACTATATTTCTAAGGCTATAGATGATTTATAGGCTATTATAAATGTTTCTGAAAAAGTAACGAGGCATTTTAATTGTTTATTAATAAACTAGTATTTTCTAAATCGGCTGCAACATATCTCCATCTCCGCTGTAAAGCAGATGCGCCTTTAGAGAAGAAATTCATATGGATTACATAATCAGACTGTATTTTCTTTTGATTCGAATTTGTTCGTTTAAAAGTGGACATTTCAAGCTTTAGCCTATGGGCTTGTTTATTTTGAGACGCGATCCAGTTCACGGAGACCATAAAAGAGCGCGACTGATTGTTTTATTTTATTTTACAAAAGCACAACGTTTTCTTGTTATTGTGAGTTTACACAAATAAAAGTAGTTGCGAATGATGTATTGTTGCGAATGATGTTTATTTTCTATGACCAGAAATGATAGAGTAGTAGGCCTATTTTAAGTTGTTTCCACTGTTGATAGAAAAACGGAAGTGCTCGCGCCCGCGCCTCGTGCAGCAAGCGCGCTCCACACTCAGATTACATGCGCTTCTTATGCGCTTCTTGAGGCAGACTCGACTCACACTAGCACACACACGCAAGATCTCTCGCTCTCTGCCGTTGCGCGCGCTACACAGTTTGAACATACATATTCACGTAGCCTTTCGAAAACCGGGACATTCAGTGTCCCGGGAGAGTGCGTAAATTTCCCGGGACAGGTTATTAAAAAGAAGGACAATCCCGGTAAAACCGGGACAGGTGGCAACCCTAGGTGACATGCAGATTTGTTCTGAGGAGTGGTAAGCAGGGAAAACAATGCTAAATGCAAATCATGAAACATACGTGGATTGCTAATAGAAAAATATATAGAATTTTAAAAAGGAGAGTCTTTTGTTGTTGAAGTCAAAGGCTGTGTGTAGCCAAATGTACAGTATTTCTGCACAGATTGGTCCACTTGATGCCCTAGCTGCTGTGTAAGATTTGGATCCTGAAGCGTAATTTCTTTCTTTCTTTATGCATTTTGAATTAAGTGAATTTAATCAACTTTATTTTCAGGGTTCATTTACTACTTCACGACAGTTTAGTACACTCTCATCAATAATGAGTATTGGCTCATATTGACTGGCGCTGAGAAAAGTAACAGATATCACGTGACAACACCGCCCTACTTCAGCAGCGGTCTATACAATTTTTTCCAGCAATAATTATGCATCCAAATAAATTAATAGGAACTTTCAGGCTGCAAAACCTATTTTAACTGAATTTCACAGCAATTCAATCGCAATTCCACCTGCTTGTTTTTTTTGGTACAGCAATCCTCATTAAACGTTGCAGCGTCTTGCCACAAGGTGGCAGCAGTAAATGTAAAGATCACCATGGTTTGCGATTGCGAAACTGTTTTGTTTTGTGTTTCTCTTTCATTTGTCGTCTTGCTTTGCTTAGCTGGCAATATAAAACTGGCTATAGAATTAAAGTGAAACTCGAAACAGAGAGTAAAAGGCAATCTTCTTTCAGAAAAGTTTGATTATGTGGCTCGATAACCCTTTTTCACCCTGTATCCCCTCTGATAAATGCGGATGAGTTGCAGAAACACCCGCGACGAAGGCCCCTCCCTCACTCAGACCACAGAGAACATGAAAGACACGAGGAAATAGACACAGTAGCCTACAGAAAAACACTGTCCAGTGGGTTACAGTCTCTGGAGGTTTGAGGGGAAAACTGGTTCTGAACTGTGAATGTCTCTCATCTGTGCATATGAATTAGTAAATTAAAAGAAGCATCTGTTCATTCCTCATTTGAATATCCTCAACCAGCTGGGGAAAACACGAGGAGTTTTGCAGGTAATTTAAGGTTCTTGCAACATTACGGGCTCATGTTTACTGAATTTTTCATTTTTCTTTTCAAATTTGTCACTTTTTGGGGGGTGTTAAAGTGGCTGCACTCAACATCTCACTTCTATGCTGTGTTTTTCTCTTCTTTTAGTGTTTTTGTTGTGACATGTTTTGAGTTTGTTTGCGTGTGGAATGTTGAAAAGGCTGGTTACACCGAAACTGGCTGGAATGAACTTGCTATTTTGATATTTGTCAGGGTTCTATGTTCATAACAATATTAATTATTTTGTGATTTCCTGGCTTGAAAAACGCGTTAATTAAATTAAGTGATTGCAGTCTATAAAATATTTATCATATTATTAATAATTTATCCAGTAATCCCTAACATTTGCCAAAACTATTGGAACCTTGATTTAGTCCATCGTAACATTGTATTACATTTTCTGTACTGAAAATGTTACATTCCAAACATAATGATTTTTCTTAACAAAAAAAAAACATTGTCCTTCCAACAATGAGTTGTTTATGCATGTTCAGTTAGTTCACAAAAAGTTTGTTACAATGGGCCTATGTTTTTATCGTATTTGACACATCAGGCTTTTACGGTTCATATAGTATGATATAGTAAGAATATGGAGGAGAAAAACACCTCAATTTTATTCAGAGGCCAAAACTGAGCAAAAATATGCATTTTGGTGCAGTTGCTGATTTTTATAAGGCCAAAAAGAAAGATGAGATTCTGATGAAAGTAAGATGAATGCATATCATTTGAAATGAGAATGCATATAAATGTCAGTTGTTTACTTTTCACTTTTTATCTCCCTATAATATGTCTTAATATGATATGTAAATGCTTAGTTTTATCTGTAGTTTTTATTGTGGGGGCAAAACATATAATGCAATGCAATATATGATTGAGAGATGGACAAATAAACGTTCCTCAGAAGCCTGATGGATCATATTTGATTTTCACGATTCGATTGAACATGATTTAACATTAAATGTTCATCTAGAAATATTAAGAGAAAAGATCCTGTAGCATTTGAGCAAGATAACATAATTTGATATGATTTTTTTTAATGCAGAGAAACTGATACATTTTAAGTGTCCAGATACTTTCTGAGGCCTTTCAAACTGCCCAAATAAATATGTCACCAATTGAAGACGCACCCTCTTTAAAAACACACCATTGCTGACTCATTCTCATGATCCTGATAGTCGAGAATGAAGAGCCATGTGTTGTGAAAGGGATTTATATTGTGTTTGTCTTCAGAAACCAGGATCTTGTGTGCTGTCAATTGGATGGTGTGGTTCCAGTCCGGATGGGTGTATATGGTGTCTTAAACAGATTAATCTGAGCTTCCTATCGATCTTTCCTATCTCACAGTCGTGTGTAATACTTCTACGGCTGTGTGGTGATGTGAGTGTTTGCAGATCCTGCAGGATGACCCCTGAGTGATAAAAAGCAGAACCATACAGTAAACTAAAGGAGGGGCCAATAGTGTTTGTCAGACATTTTTCCCCCTTTTTGGCTGTTCTGGTTTGACAGTGTGACACTGACTCATGTTTCACTGATCATGTGACTGATCATCATTCTGCATGAATGTTAAACAGTTTTACATTAGGAATAGTTCCTGCCATGTCATTCCAAACCCATATTATTTTCTTGAGGCAAGACACTACAGGCCAAACCCAGAGGCCAGAGATTTCGCTTCCATAACGTGTCTTCTTTCAGACTAGTGGAAAGAACATCCAAAATACACATTTAAGTGTTTGTTTTATTACACTTTATCTATTTGCATTTGTAGATTTCAATTAACCCATATATTTGATGGCCGTAATTTTTGAGACCGAAATCTGTATTTCAGCAGCCATGCTTTACAGGTGTATTTCTATTTACACTCTGAAGGTTTTTACAGAAGGGTTTGTTCATGTATCATTCACCTGATATGTATTTAACATTTTATTCCTAAAAACAAGATTTATTTTTCTTTTCTGAAAGTATTTTCTGATTTATAGAGTGATAAAAAAAAAACTGTAAAAAAACTTTAGCTCTAATATGTCGTCAAAATGAATTTTGTTCTTGGCTTTATCCAGTGTTCAGATTTCTATTCTGGACATTTATGCAATTGAGTATTTAATTAGATGTTAAAACATTTGTTATGTTTAAACATAAGAAATCAGAAACCTTGTAATACAAAACAATTGTCTTGTACTGTGATTAATACACTGGGGAAAGTATGATGATATACTGTATATGCCATAAACCCATATGATTGTCTTTTACACAAAGTGATATGTTTGGGAGAATGTCCAAGCTTCTGGGTTTTCCTTTTGTTTTCTTTTTCCAGAGATTTGCACTGTATGCTGAGCGTCAAACTGTGTTGAATGTTATTCACGCCAGAGAAACACATCCAGAACAGTGTTTCTACATTAGCCTTTTTGTGCTGTTTTATAATGACACTCATAACTCGGTTCTTGTTCTGAATTACTACCCTATTTCCTCTGAAAACAGGCAAATGTAGAAGATATTGCAGTAAAGTAATCCCAGCGCCGTCAGAACATTCCTGCATTCTGATCTTGTGTCTGTGTGTCGCTCCAGACTGCAGGATGTTCTCGTCAGTAAAGCCGTTTGAAGGGCAGCAGTTTTCAGCCCTGAGGAAACAGTGCCAGCAGAACAGGACTCTGTTCGAAGACCCACTCTTCCTCCCTCTGGACCAGTCGCTCTTCTATCATGGAAACCGCATTGGAAAAGTCACCTGGAAGAGACCAAAGGTATAAAGAACCTTGTTACCTGTTTTTAAATACCTAAGCCATGATTGAATAAAGGCTTTTTATGTCTCCAAAGGGAGATATTTTATTTAACAGAATCCCCTTTTCAAGAACTACAATCAATGAATGGCGCGTTTCAACTGCAATGCAAAATCTTATGAAGTCACAATGTTACTAATTTAAATAACGCCCATGGAATGCGCAAAAAAGGGTGAGGCCTGGTTGAGCTGAATTATGCCGAGTTCACACTGCATGATTTTCAAAGTAGTCAGGTCACTGTTCTTTTCAGACTGCACGACTATCTGGGGTAACATTCAGTTGCTGGTGTGTTCACACTGCACGATGGATCGGCGACAGGAGGTTTCACACCGCATGTTTTTACAAAAGAAAGAATCGCCGACAACTTCTGTCTGGTCCGCAAACTACGTTTCACAACCAAACACACGCGAGAAGTGATAAGGAAATAACGCAAGATCACGTGTGCGTGAGACCGAAATTATTAAAAATGATAGCCTGCAAGAAGCTTGCGATCTAAATTGTCTGTGCGCTGATTTGCGGCGAAAAGGAGAGGGGAAAAAAAACATTATGCAGGAGGAAATGGTTGGGGAGCGAGGATTGTGTGTTCTGCAAAGAGAGTTGGGGGTAAATAAATAATTTTGCAATGTGCTGCTGTTGCTGCTGGTCAAGCAAATGTTTGTGCTTTGTTTCTGTTTGATATCATTGTAAATATATCTATTAAAATACTGATATTCTGGTCTATAACTCCTCCCCGAACATCCCGCTTCCCTGTATCTTGCTCTCTCATTGGCTGTAGGTCATCGCCGATGTAGTTTTCAGTCAGAACACATTCACACAGCAGGATTTTGACTCGCTGGCGATTCTCTCAGAATTCACACTGCGTGATTGTTACTCACTTGAACGAGTACCGATTTGCCTATGATTTTGGGCATTTGTCGGCGATCTCCCAAAACCTGTCGGCGAGTGAAAATCGGGCTTAAAATTGTGCAGTGTGAACTCTGCGTTAGAGAAGACAGAGACACAATTTTTTTCCACATTTCCAAACTCATTTGTTTGACCTTCTTAAGGCTGAATAACGTAGAGTGGTTTATTTATTTTAAACCCTGTTCCTGAACATTAAAACCTAAACGTTTATCTGTGTGCTGCACATTTTATGGAGAACAGCTTGTTTTCTGTTGCTTTTGTAAGCTCTAGCTTTTGTAAGGCTGTTCACTGCTCCTTAGGAAAATTAGCCATGATTTTGCAATCCAAAAGAAAATTACAAACATACTGCTCTGAATCGCCCTGTGAAATCCGTTCTGCACTGTCCTCTTGATCGTTTACATTGTCAGGATCTGAATCGGGCTCGAATTGGTTTGAAATTGACGCCATCCTTATGCCTGGTTCAGATTACACGATTTTAGCCCGATTTTGGCACGATCCGTTTGACGTAGGGTGTCGTGGGAATTCGCAAACGACAACGGGCGTCGGGACGCAAGATTCGATCGTATCATCTCGTATAGTGTGTCATAGTGGGCGACAACCTACGTCGCGTCTGCGATGCTTCACGACATCACGACAAAAAGACTAGCATGTTTAATTTTTTTAACGGTCGTCCACGACGGGTTCCGTCACATGTATGAGGTTGACCAATAGGAGCACAGAAGCTTTTCCGTACATAACTTTCAAAAATGGCGAAACGAAAGAGAGACGATTGTGCTACTAGGTGGAGTTATGACATGGAGGAAAGGTTCGTGGAGCTGTGGCAACAGTAACAGAAAACAATATTTTACCTCAAGTTCTCTTTGGAGGATTGACAGCCCATACTGTCCTCTTCGAGCAATCCAGGAACGTGTCCATTTTTGGGTTTTCTTTCTTTTTTTTACGTTTTTCTGAACACAGGACAGCCAACACTCACTGCTTCATCCATTGTTTGTTTCCGGAAGTCACACGCTACTAGTTTCGCCTTCTCGATGACATCACGCGCGTCGTTAAAGACGGCACCCGATGACTGGTCAGGAAGCAACGGGTAGTTTGACATGTTTCTTGTCCACGACACGACAAGATTTTAGGAGTCAAAATCGCGTAATCTGACACAGTGACTATCGTAACAGACAAAAAAGACAGGACATTTCCCGAACAGCTGCCAATCACAAAACACTGGGCCAGCTAACCAATCACAGCACATTTTGTATTTCAGAAGGAGGGGCTTCATAGAAATCGGCGTGTTCTAGCCAGACTGTGGAGAGAGGAGCTGTAATAATGTAAAATATGTGAAAAATAATGCTTTTTTTGAACAATCAAGCATGAAAACATTTTCTAGTACACCCCAAAAACAAAATCAAGTCTTTGTAAAAGGGCATAATTTGACCCCTTTCGATACACCAAGGAATGTATCGAAAGACTTGATAATTAGTGGCCTTTAGTAACTTAATACACTTTAATCAGTTTAGATTAAACCCGTCTCCTAAATAACCTGGATGTTTTCATTAATCATATCTGAGCTCTGTGCTTATGGAAGGTGTGGCTCTTCTGACCATAGATCTTGTGTAACTGGACACCATGTGTAACTTAATACGCATTTAAACTGATGCCAGATAAATGTGTTTGTAGTTAAAACAATAACCTCTACATACAGTCCCCTTCTCGACTCTGTTGTGAATGCTTGTCAATGTTATATTTAGCCAAAGATTATAATAGTTATTGTTTAGAAATGTGCCTGAGTAAAGGTTTGTGTACAGGAATAATTTCCTGTAGCTGTCATGCTGTGTGATAAATGAATCTCTTTTTTCAGCATATAAATAAATCTGAACCAGGATGTATGTAGATAAACAATGCCAGAAATGGGTGGCTCAAAGTCGTTGATAAAATCAGTTTTTATGTGCAATATTTAGTACGCTACCAATCAAGTTTAGGGTCAGTAAGATTTTTTGAAAGAAGTCTCTTCTGCTCACCAAGGCTGCATTTATTTGATCAAAAATTCAGTTATACTGTGAAATTATAGTATAATATTATAACAATAACTGTTTTGTGTTTGAATACATTTTAAAATGTAATTTATTATTTTGATGCGAAGCTAAATTTTCAGAATCATTACAATAAGCTGATTTGCTGTTCAAGAAACTTTTCTGATTGTTATCAGTGTAGAAAACTCATAAACCGAAAGTGTTGTGCTGCTTCATATTTCTGTGGAAACGGCGAGACCTATTTTTCAGGATTCTTTGAAGAATAGAAAGTTCAAGATCATTTAAAAAAAAAGCTGAATTCTTTTGTAACTTTAAATGTATTTACTGTCACTTTTGATCAATTTAATACATCCTTGCTGAATAAAAGCATTAATGTCTTTCCAGAAAAAAATCGTACTGACCCCAAATTTTGAACGGTAGTGCATATTATCAATTCACAAACTTAAGCAACTTTAACCACCTTGCTCAGAAATTCATAGATGAGCACAATTTAAGGAAAAGCCTATAAATAAAAGGTCTTTAAGATAAATTTTGCTGAATTTCTTAATAGTACTATATGAAATGTATTGTTTCTCTTTTTTCCTTACCTTCCTTACTGTTTTCAGTGTCTTCACAGCAGCAATTAGCTAAAGCTCATCACACAAAAACAAGCCTAAAAGATCTTTGTCGATTAAAACTGAACCCAGTCCATTAAAGGCTGTGGGAAAAGTCCTTTTGTCATTCCATGAACTAATTAAATATGCATGAGCTTTTTAAGTAATCCACTGAATGGATTGTCAATGTTAGACAAGCTCAAAGGATGTTTAAGCTAGTGAGCGGCTAATGTAACCTTGTTTGCTCACTGATTTTGATCTGTAGTCTTGGCTCTATTTCGTATGTGATTTATTGTTTTTTTTTTCTACCCGTTTTATCATCCTCCAGGTGAAAATGGTGCTTCTGATGACTTAGTAAAGTAACAGTGACTCTCCTCAGCAAACCGCATGATTTGAGGAATCATTCATGTCAGATATACAAACGTTACACCTCAAAGTTTAATGCTATGAGCAGTAGCAAATACCACTAAACTGTCGGTCACACAGAGCAGTGTGTTTGCGTTTAGGGAGCATTGCTTCAGGACACTCCCTTTTTTACCATCCATCATGGTGAAAATTACGGTGTTCTGTTCGGGCATGTGAGTGCAATGCAGTTAAACAAGTGCAATACAATCACCCGTCCACTAAAAACCTCCTGTGTCATGAACTGTACCGTTTATACTGTTTGTCAGAGCAGCCGGTGGCGAATAAGACCTTCACTCATGAATGTCACATGAAGCAGCTCTTCCTCACTGCAGCTGTTGTTTTCTTTAGCGTCTGAAATAATACTATCTGTTCTGTTAAGGCGGGATGGGAGAAAGAATGCTTAGGGGAAAATTGAATTGTGAGTTTTCTCTGTTTTATGCTATTTATTATTTTATGATTATTTATTTATGCAATTGGAGTTTAAAATGCATTTATTAGAGCTTCAGATTTGCTATGTTTGTTGTTTATAGGGCTACACAAAAAGGGGCAAAAATTATATTGTGTTTATGTATAAATATCATAATAATATTAATAATATAATAGTCATATTTATTATAATTATTATTTGTTTAGGCATATGTTAGGCACAGAATATAAAAACCAGTCAAATATTACCATTGTAATAAAACTAGTTTACTGTAAAATAATACTGTTTTTTACAGAAATACAGTACTAATAATTTATCTTAAATTCATAATTTTCAGAAATTTAAAGCTGCAGTCCGTAGCTTTTTTTGGGGGGTTAAAAATTATCTAAAATACATATTTGAGAAAATACATAACCCGCCAGTGTTCAAAACTATCTGCTTGCCTTAGCTCGATTCAAAGCGGTAAGCTTGTAATAATGTTTCTAATTCCAGTGGTACTGGTGTATTTCCGCGGGAGATTCGAGCATGTCTTTGCGTCATTACGTCACATCTGTACACATAAAGAACGAGTCTCGGCTAGTAGGCTATATTGCGTGTGAGGATGCTGGAGGTGGAGATTTATAGCCTTTTCTCACAGCACTTGATATAATTAAACTTAGCAATTTGATGGCGGATCTAGAATGATTCAAACGACAATCACCAGTGACAACTGGAGACTCAACCGCTGTAAAATGCAAAAGACTTCGGACTTCGGAGTGGCTACAGAAAAAAAGAGACTGCAACCGGACCCATGCGAAAACAAGGATACATATCAGAAGGACATTCATTTCATTTCATTTCATTTATTATACAGGAAAATTCAACAGCAACAGTATAGTTACAGTAAAACGGGCCTGGCTCAGTTTAAAAACTGGTTTACAGCAGGTTCCTGTTCTGCAGCAACATAAAACAATAAACAAAATTTCAGCACATGTATACAAGACATTGTTATTGACTAGATGGATATAAACAAAACATAAAATACAGAAAAACAAGACTAAAAACAGTACATGAGCAATCAATGTGTACAATTACATTACATGTAGTCACGCAATGCTGACGTTGTTAACATTAACAATTTGAGAACAAAGTATAATTTGCACGGTTCTGCGTGATATGATAACTTATAAGCGATTGTTAGATTTAATCAGCGCGATTTACTGCAATGTCAGCTTTAAGCATCAAATCTTTTTTTTTTTTTTTTGGTGGAAAAATCATAGGGAAACCTTAAAGGGATAGTTCACCCAAAAATGGAAATTCTGTCGTCATTTACTCACCCTCAAGTTATTCCAAAACCTGTATGAATATTTTGAAGAATGTCAAGCTAAACAGCTGATGGCATAGGCGTCGATTTCGTCATGAGTCATTTTGTACCCACCACTTTTGGAAACATTGAGGCACGGATGTACCTAATACAAAAAAAACATTCTACAGTTAACTAGCAGAGCATTCATTTATTTCGCTCTTAAATAAGAGATCTAGCGCTAAAATGTTTTGTTTTTGAACTCATGCAAGCTGAGTGCTCGTGTCCGCTGCTATCAGTGTCATGGATACAGTGTTCTCTTGTGGCTTGCGCAGTCTTCACTCGGACGCGCGCTTCAATCTATCGCCGTTGAGGAGACTCTCTATTCATTCCGGTGAAATCACAAAATAAAATGCACACAAACGTGTCCCTGCTTGATATAGACTGTAACCAATGATGAACATATATTTAGTTTTGATGAGAGGGAAAAAAAACTATACTAGTGCGGATTAGAACCCGTAACCTCTGACACGCTTGGCAAAAGATCTACCACTAGACCATTTAAGAACTCAAACAACATTAGCGGATCGATGGATTTATTTACGGGATAAGCAGAGAGGCTGCACAGTTTGACAAGTTTGTACCCAGCACTTCTGAAAATGCACTTCCGAATGCGTCTCTGTCCCCAGCACATTTCAAACCAAACTGACGCCCGTGGCTGATGGACCCCATTGACTTTCATAGTATTTTTTTTCCATACTATAGAAGTCAATGGGGCACATCAACTGTTTGGTTACCAACATTCTTCAAAATATCTTCCTTCAGTGTTCAGCAGAAGAAATTAACTCATACAGGTTTGGAACAACTTGAGGGAGAGTAAATGATGACCAAATTTTCATTTTTGGTTGAACTGTCCCTTTAATGTTTCTCCTTTGTTGGCATCAACACCTTTTAGATAAATAAAGCTTCTTGTTTTTTGCATTTCAGGAAAAAAAAACGTACCCTTAACTAATCTTATAAGTGGGTGTAGTTAGATGTAGATCGTTGTAGATGAACGGAATTAAATTTCAGCAGTACTCAAAGTTGTTGTGCCTCAATGACACTAAACAGGTCAACGCAGAACAGAAAAACATGGCTGGTTTAATTACAGGTGCTCGGTTTTCTTATTTAATAAAAAACACACACTGCCCTGCAGCTGCGGTGCTTCTGTAACTGGACTCTGTTGTATGTGTGAATATGGAGCACTGAATCATGGGAATCTCTTTGTCTCTTTATAACAGGAGCTCTGTGAAGACCCACACTTGTTTGTGAATGGAATTAGTGCCCATGACCTGCACCAGGGGCAGCTGGGAAACTGCTGGTTTGTGGCAGCGTGTTCCAGTCTAGCTTCCAGAGAAGCTCTGTGGCAGAAGGTGAGTTCATGTCATCATTGTTCCCATACTAAAAATATGCATGAATACCATAGTTACCAATCTCTTTTAACTTGACATGGTGTCTTAAAATGAAGTGTGAGATATTGAAAAATTGTTAGAAAAAAATCAGAGTCAGCAACGCCAATGTCATGGGTTTGATTCCTGGAGAATTGATCAAATGTATATCTGGTAAACAATGCAAGTCGCTTTGGATAAAAGCGCTTGCTAAATGCGTATAAATTCAAACTATAGCACAGACAGAATGCAAGAACCCTTGCAGAATGTTTATTTATTAAAATTTCTTGTTTTTATGACAGTAATCGCTAATACCAATTAACCACGTTCATTTGAGCTGAAATAACTCTAGTAACTAAGGTAAGGTGAGGTACTGTATACTTTATTGTACCATAGAAAATGTTGTTTCAGGCTTAAAGCCATGCATGCATGCATACATGACAAAGATGATCAAATCTTGTTGCTATTAGTATCCTCACTGCAGATGGGAGTAATGAATTCTTCTGGCAGTTCAGTTAACACTTTGCTATTCTGAGTGGTTATGTGTAACTATACGCTTAAAACTAAAGGTTTCAGAAGCGGGGGTAGCAGAGATACCACTGAAAAACCATTTTTGGTTCCCCAAAAACACCTTTCACCAAGTGTGAGGAACATTATAGTAATTTATATAAAGGACCTTTTGTGGAATGGAAAAGGTCCATGGATGTGAAAGGTTCTTCTTGAAATCATAGATGCAAAAAAAAAAAAACTTTATTTTTAAGTGTATGGTATTTTGTCTGTATTGATGGTTACTGTGGTAAGTTTTTAAGGATTTGAAAAACTGCTCTGTAATCGGCGATATCAGCGGTTCATCTCAACGCCCACCTCCTTATCAATAGTTTGGTAAATGAATAGGTCAAATGTCCATGAAAGTTAATATTGTAAGAATGAGTACACCGATAAACAAGATGTGGGAAATATCATAGGAGTTATATATAGAGTATGCCAGTGCTCAAAGTGGGCCAATTCTCTGACTGCCCACAAATTTTTATTTTTATTTTTTATTTATCAGATTTGTGTCATTTTTAGCTTAGAGATTCTATTCCCATGGACTGCAGTGTGTGTATGTTAATTTATTTATTGTGTGTGTGTGTGTGTGTGTGTGTGTGTGTGTGTGTGTGTGTGTGTGTGTGTGTGTGTGTGTTTTATATTTGCTAGAATCGTTCAATTTCAAGGTTTCATTACAAAATGTTTTTTTTTCTCTACAATTTGTTTCTTTTAAAAAAACAACACCACAATTTTCCTTACAAAAATAACTGCATAAATTCATAAACACACTTTTGTTGAAAAATGATGGCCTATGATGCACAACATTATGCCATATAATTCAAAACATTACTGATTGTTATTTTAGTGTTATTTATATTATATTTTTGCGTCCGGCCGTCCGCATCCACAGTGAGCTCTCGCATGAGTCTGTTCGATCTGGAGTTCGGCAATGTTGCGTGGTTTCACCATTACTGTTATCGTGAGGAAAGTTTTCCAGGGCAGGCCGGGTGTCCAGTTTGGAGGTGTTGACTGATGATGATAGTGCCGTATTCGCCAACGATGAAGCAGAGGCCACTGATATTCTTATGATATCGCCAGTACAGCCAAACCGTATGGATTAACCATCAATATTGATAAAACAAAAGTCATGACAACGGATGGTTCACTAGTCACTGTCTACCTTAATGGCATCCAAATCGAGCTAGTTAGTCAATGGCTAAAAGACAGAATATTGGTCTAGATTTTGGTCAAATGGTGCTTATGGAGGAAGCATAATGTCATGGTCAAAATAAAAATTCTTATTTTTCAGGCACTTATCATACCAGTATTATATGGATCTGAAACGGACACTGCTGAAAGCAGATTTAGTGATTCCAAATGCGTTGTCTGCGATGAATACTAGGTGTCTAGTATTGTGACTAGAGATGCACCGATTGATCGGCTGGTGACCGGAATCGGCCGATTTTCACGTGATCGGCCATGATCGGTGACCGGCCGGTCAGTCTGACATTTGCCCCACTCGGGCGCCGCATGATTAACATCGCGCAACATCAGCATCACACGTGCACACGGAACGCACATGTAGGAAACCTCGTGAATTACGACCGTTTCACACAGCAAGCGTGAGCAGCGGGGTTTTTTTTTTTTTCAGGGTGCATGTTAATCAATGAGTGCATTCACACCGGGAGCAGGAGCAGCGCGTGAGCGTCGAGCAGGAGCGTCGCGTGAGCAACAGTGAAGCGCGGGTTTCAGCGCCGAGTCTATTCTGCTCGCGCTCAATTAAAGTGAAAGCATACTTTTGATGGACAAAATAAATATGATTTCACCCCAAAAGTGCCCAAAATGCACAGAATTTGCACGTCTGGTGTGTTTTAACAAGAACTGAAGTAGCCAGGCTATGTCAGAAAAGAAAATTAAGACTCAAAAATATTTATAGAAAATAACTTTTTATTCCCACTCGTTTCTCTGCACATGCTCCACTTGTCCTGTTTACCCTGGCTGGACATGTGTCAGAGAGAAAAACTGTTTGAGAAATATAACTTGCAACAAGTGATTGCAATAGGCCTGTGTGTGTGTGTGTGTGTGTGTGTGTGTGTGTGTGTGTGTGTGTGTGTGTGTGTGTGTGTGTGTGTGTGTGTGTGTGTGTGTGTGTGTGTGTGTGTGTGTGTGTGTGTGTGTGTGTGTGTGTGTGTGTGTGTGTGTGTGTGTGTGTGTGTGTGTGTGTGTGTGTGTGTGTGTGTGTGTGTGTGTGTGTGTGTGTGTTGAGAAATATATACTGCAAGGGTAGGCTATATTTATTTTATTTTTATTTGTTATTTATATATTATTTTATTGCCATTACCTGTTTTCATACAAAAGTTTAGTTTGCTAAATATATCTTTTTTTTTAAGTTGGATATTGGATGTGAAAAGAAAGAAATGCTTCTTCCATAACACTGCACTTTAGATGTGTGTGGATTTCCCACACCAGGAGTAATTTATATAGTTCTATTTTATAGCGATTATCTGGTAAAAAAAAAGTTCTATGCAAAATGTTCTACTAAAGAGAAGATAGAAAATAATATATGTTTGTGTGCGCTGTAAAGTGGTTTAAAAAAAGGAAATCGGAATCGGCTTAAATCGGTATCGGCAGGTCAAACTCAAGAAAAATCGGAAATCGGAATCGGCCTAGAAAATTGTAATCGGTGCATCTCTAATTGTGACTGGCTTCGAAATGACACCATCAGACTGAGGTGTGGGAATCAGCCAACCGTCGAAGAAGAAATCCAAAAGCGCAGGGTGCAGTGGTTCGGTCACATATGCTGAATGAACGAACGACGTCTACCATATCGAGGCCTGCGAACTGGAAAGTTCAACAAATGGCACCCAAGAAAACCTGGACAAAACAGATTTAAGTTTTAGTTGATTTGTTCAGTTTTTTAATATTTCTATTTAGCGTATTTTTTTTTTTAATCAGTTTTAGTCATTTTAGTTCATACTTAATTTCAGATATTTGCCATGGCAACATTTCTAATTATTGTTTTTCTAAGTTTTTTATCTAATATTTATATTTTATTGCAGCCTTTTTGATTTTTATTAGTTTGAGTTTGAGTTTTAGTTAACATTAACAACACCGTTGTAGTTTTTAACACATTTTTACTGATGCTTCCAAAAGTTTCACAAGCCATTTTTGCAATATTAACAAAACAATCAGACATGGCGTAAATGCAATGTTAGAATGGCACAGTTTTTTGAACGTTTGTCTGTCTAACAAGTAATACATGTCCTGTTTGTTTGCGTTTTATGAAACATGTGTATCATGAAAAACCCCTCAAACTCTGCTCAAGGTTGTCTTGTTACTGTTTTATTTTTAGTGTTCAGGTGACTCCTCTATAATGTAAGCTCATTATTTCTCACATAATGTGATCTTTCCTCATTACTCGCCGCGGTATCTGCAGGTACATTGTAATCCTTACAAATTGAGCCATGGGATGTGCTAACTGAGCAAATGATGCATTATTAGGACGAGTCTTGCTTAGATTGAATGAGATCGCATTGATGGCTTGTGACTAATTGGAGACTTGGGGTTATCACCTTGGTTTGCTGTATTTTCATTTGTGTCCACACACGATGCACAGTCGTGGACAAACATCAGATCCCACGAGATGACTTGTTTGTTTCCATGCGTTTGCGTTAGTTTTCCAGATCCAAATGCTTGGAAAAGGTTTTTTTAAAGCACTTCCGTTTACTCATGAGCTTACAGTCGTACGTCATCCGTCTGTGTCGCTCCACGTAATTCTCATTAAGGAGCCTCGCGGGACGTCCTGCCTGTCGCTGTCACACTGCAGCGCTTGCAGTAATGCACCTTGCACGGATACAGTACGCTGAGCACTAGAATCGCTCCTTGTTGTGCGTTCTGTCTCTGCTAGACAAGTTGTTTCCTCCTGAGGTCTAATTACTGTCCGCTAACTCTTCCTGCGGTTCCCCTAAAGAGCTCCATCAGACACACTCATAGATCTCATCTGGCCACACACTCATACCTAGTGAACTGCCTACCTAGGCAGAATGTAAAGGTGATAAAGTTAGTTACGCGACGACCTTATGTTGCCATTTAAGATCTCCTTTTGACCATATTCTAAGGCAGCGTCACAATCCCAGAACCCATTGCTAATTAAATTAAAAGAATTGTAGTATTATTTATATACTATTATTATAGTTTTCTTCATTTTTAATTAGCCTATATTTTTTGGTTTTCATTTTCTTTTAATTTTAGTCAATTTGAATGCACTTAAAAAAAATATATATATATTACTACTTTGGTTCAATTTATTTTTTTCCACTGTAGTTTTATTTTACTTCCAGTTAGTATTGTTATGCTTCAACTTATGGTTATTCTGGTTAGTTGCCAAGGCAGTGTTTCTAATGTTTCATGTTTTCAGATTTATTTAATTTACAAAAATGTTTATAATCATTTCAGTTGATAAACCTGTTTAGTACTGCATGAAATATCAATAAAATTGTCCTATTAAAATGGTTTGTTTTTGCTGTCTATTTTTCTTTTTCTTAGTGTTGCATAGTTATCTTACCAGCAGCCATTTCACCCTTTAGCCCAAGAATTTGCCCATTGTCCTCTGTCCATCATCATAGTGTCCTAATCATCCCCATATATACTCATTGGCTTCATCACTCTGTCTCCTCTCCACCAATAAGCTAAATTCTTAGTGGTGCCTAATGTAATAACAAATGATCATTTTGCTGGAAGTGAATCAATCACAACTAACTTTAGCTGGAAATAACATTACTCAAAAATCGCTATAAAGCCAAAACAATCTCTGTTACCGTAAATTGTATGTTTATCTCTGTAAAGCTGCTTTGAAACAATCTCCATTGTTAAAAGTGCTATATAAATGAAGATGACTTGACTTGACTTGGTGTGGTGCAATATGGCTGCCGTTGCATCATCCAGGTGGATGCTGCAGATTGGATGAATAAATGTAATGAATTATTATTATAATTATTAGAAAAATGCTAACTTGGGGATAGTTCACCCATAACAATTTTAATTCTGTCATTTACTCACCCTCAAGTTGTTCCAAAGCTGTATTGCTTTCTTCTGCTGAACACTGAAGGAAGATATTTTGAAGAATGTTGGTAACCAAACAGTTGATGAGCCTCATTGACTTCCATAGTATGGAGAAAAAAAAAATACTATTGAAGTGAGTGGGACCCATCAACAGTTTGGTCATTTTTGGGTGACCTATCCCTTTAACGCTCTATTGGAATCAATTGGGATTTGAGGTCACAGTTTATTTTAAGGTTAAATAGTTGAACTTAGAAATAGTTGAATAATATTAACTTATTGTTACGGTTAAGGTTAGGGTTTGGTTTAGGGTTAGTTACTTTTAATTATGTATAATTCACGGTTATTACCATAGTAAGTACATGTAGTAACGTGTAACTGTCACCTAAAAATAAAGTGAGTCATATTATGTAGGCTTTTTTTGTGGCTTCCTTTTTAAGATTTTTGCCAAAGTCACATGTACTCTTCACAGTGCATGAAACCCTAGAATGCACTGAAATTATAATATATATCAAAAATCCTGTTGTTGTTTTTTGTGTGTTTTTTACCATTAACAAAGCTATAGATGTTCATGTCTGGGGGAAAAGTTTTCAAAGATTATGAGAAATTTACGTTGACATATATTAACATTTATTTCTTTGGCAGGCACATTTAAATGATTACCATTTATTGACTGCTTGGTTGCCTTGGTTCATGGCACACAGAGAACATTTTGGTGGTTGTATGTGTGAGAACCGTTATTTTGCTCGATTCTTTTAATGAACCAGTTCACAAATTGAACTTAACTAGTTCGATTCTTATACAACTCACTATCCTTTCAGTTGTCAGACAAAATTTCAACGGAAACACTTGATGACGTAAAGGACTGAAGAATTGGCTTGTTGAACCGGTTCATTGAAACAAACTGTTAAAAAGAACCCGTTCATGGAAATGAGTCAGACTTCTAGAACTAATGTGTGGCATTTGCCTGAAGGCTGGGCACATTGATTGAATGCCGATATTGATCCAGTTGTGCGGTGGTTAGTGATGGGCACTGGCCGAGTCTGTCTCAGTTGACCTTCCAGTCAGATGCCTTCACCATATCAACAAAACATTCACATACAGAAACAGAATGATTGACAACACAATTTATTTTACTGTAGATTCGCTCTATAAGCATCATACTGGCATTGGATTACATGTGCACCAGACAAAATCATCCAGCAATTGCTTTATACATACAATCTTACTACATTTTTCTGGACGGCAGGTTAATGAAAGCATCATGAAGTTCAGGAAACTACAGAGGACAAGAGCTAAAGAAATGTAAGGTTTTTTTTAACACAAAGGGCTTTCGTTGATTGGTAAAAGAAAAAGGTTTAGACTGACCATCACATAGAGCATCTAACCTGTCTGCGGTTTTAGGATTCGATCTGTCACTTGTTTTTGTTGAAGGTCAAAGAGCAAGAGATTTTCTCTTTCGTCGCCCCCTCTTTATAGGCGAATAGGAAATACATCACTTTCCGCACCTTCGCCAGCTCGGCTATCCTCTCTCCGAACTCCTGGATGTCCGCCTCCAGGCATTTGATGGGCAGATCATCAGGATCTCCGGCGTTCCTCCAGAACTGGCCGATGGGCTCCAGCAGCTGCCTGGTCATCAGGTTGGTCAGGTCGGGCGTCCAGAGCTGGCAGATGCCGGTGACTGTGAAACGGCCCGTTCCTTGCAGGGTCACGTTCCAGTGGGAGAAGGTCAGCTCCTGCTCGCTGAAGTCCAGCTGGTAGACGGACTCGTGCGGCAGGAGAAGCCTCTCGCCGTCCTGCCTCTTCTGACCCCTCTGCTGCAGCGACTGCACCCTCAAACGCATCACCTCCGTCAGCTGCAGGTCCTCGGTGAAGGTCAGCTCCATTTCCGAACCCATGACCCGATAGTCTTCAAGATGAGGAAGGAGCCGTCTGCTCGTGGCTTGTGTCTGTGTGCGACTGAATAAACTCTCTCCTCTTTCAACCTTCACTTTCCATCCCCACCCGCTTCTGTGGCCCCCACGGGCAAAAAGCCTCATTTAGTTGGGGACTTTATTGATTCTGCCTCACATGCTCTGAGCCTCTGGATGAGTTTTGGGAGCAGGAGGAGGAGCAAACCAACCGGAGACTCGCTGTTAGAGTTTGACGTATTGCAGCACTAGGCAACAGATGCTTGCTGCTGTTCAAAAAACTTTAAGGAGTTTTTTTGTGTGTATGTGTGGATAGTTTAAATATACATTGGATTAACAGCATTTATTTATTTACAGTTAACCTAACATTAATGCATCTGAACATTTTACTTTATTTTTATTATTATTTTTTATTCCATTGTCATACAGCAAAAATCCAAATATATAAAAGTTTTGTATTCCAATAGTTTTTTAATCAGCTCAAATGCAGTATAACAAGTACTATGATTTAGAAATTCTTCACGTACTGTATAATATGTTTTTTGCTGTTGTTGTTCTAGAATGAGATGAGTTTAGTATTACGGTATTCTGAATTGCGGGGAGAAAAATATGCCTAAAATGTACAGAAAGTGTCCTTAAAATTTGTGGTGTTATTGATAACTAAAAGTAAACCCATTTTGTTTTCTGTAATTGAAATAAGGCTAAAATAAATATTAGATGAAAAAAATTAAAAGTACTAAAATTACTAAAAACAACTAAATGTTTAAATAGTATATGAATACTAAAATAATAATAATTATTATAATATAATAGTAAAATAACAGTGCTTAAAATAGGGTTAATTTTTTGCAAAACAATTATTCAAGAAAAAAAAAATCGTTTATTTCTTTGATTTTTGAGTGAAATATGACCTGGGCATGTTCTTTCATTTGGTTCACCCATAAGCTCTTGTAATTCCATGCATTTTAATAGTTTTTATTCACCATATTTTTCTGATGTACATCAGGTCTGTCAGTGTAAGGTAAAGTTGACTCCAGTTATAAAAAAAACCCCTGTATTTTGCTGTTTATAGGTTATTCCTGATTGGAAGGACCAGGAATGGGAGAAACCAGAGAGCTATGCTGGGATTTTTCATTTTCGGTTCTGGCGTTTTGGGGAATGGGTGGACATCGTCATTGATGACCGACTGCCAACCGCAAACGGGAAGCTCATCTACTGCCACTCCAACGACAGTAATGAGTTCTGGAGTGCTCTGGTGGAGAAAGCCTATGCCAAGTAAGTACCACGACCAGTATAAACAGAAAGAAAAATGCCTTCTTGAATGAAGCTAGCAGATACTTGGAGGGATATATCAGATATTGGTTGATGATAATAAGAAATGTTTCATATTAGTATGTTTTTTCAATGATGTCCTTCACTAAACTGGTTCGTTTATCTGACCCCTCATTTATCAGGTTATGTGGATGTTATGAGGCTTTGGATGGTGGCAACACAGGTGATGCTCTGGTGGATTTCACTGGCGGTGTATCCGAGCCCATGGATCTGCTGGAAGGGAAGTTTAACCAGGAGGAAGAGGCCCGTCATCAGCTGTTTGAGCGGGTTCTGAAGGTCCACAACAGAGGAGGCCTGATCAGCTGCTCCATTAAAGTGAGTTTGATGTCAAGTCGCATGCATTTGTGTTTCATGCAATAAGAAATGTGATTATGAAATGCATGTTTCGTGACTATACTTTTCAATACAGTGTGTATTTTATTGTTTATTCTGTTGTAATGTCCTGCCTCATAGACGTCCATTATACGTGCATTACTGTAAACACAATTTCGATCTATTTATTTTTATACATTTTATTTATATTTTCTTCAAAATGGGTAATCAACAGCATGCCACAGGTGCTGTACATAGTTTAACTTTTATTTAAAGCTTTTTTTAATTAGTATGCAATGGCCAATTAAAGTTCAACTCATTGAAACTCCTCATAAAACAAATGCATTTGTGTTTAAAGTAACACCAGGTTACTTTTGCTCTCGGGGTGGGGTCCCCCTACAGTTGGGAAACAGTATTGTCCTCTAGACCTCTACTACTGTCGTAAACTCTGTCATCCTACATGCACGTGCAATTGTTGACAACCACGATAGCCCTGAACACTATAGGAGGAGATCACATGCAGGTGTTCTGCTTGCGTCTTGTGTGAAATGTCTTCATCCCAGAATTTCATGGGTTTTATTTTTTTTCTAACGACAAATGATCGCGATGATCACGTTTACAAGCCAGCGTCATTATAGTAGCCTATAACTGAATCTATATGATACTTCAATGCAATGTTTGAGTGGTAGATAATAACCATATATCGTCAATATTATAATATCAAGCTACCATAAATGAATCTGCAAATTTTACAAATCGATTTGCATTATAGCTTGAGGGAAGACAAATAAACAAATATCACAGACATGTTAGGTATCCTAAAATATGATTTTGTACATCTTATATATTTACTTGCAAGAATGTAGCCCCTACCAAACTTGTGCACGCCGTTTAGACATAGGCTTTCATTTGATTTTTTTTTTTTTTTTTTGCCAAGTCCGCATCGGTCGGGCACCCCTCCTCCTCCTTCAGCTCACGCCAGCGAGAAAATGCTGGCCCAATGTTAATCCTCGTTCTGCCTTTAACGCGATCACTTTCTCTTTTTCTCTTTTTGCTTTGCTCCGATAAAACCTTTGCTTTCTTGTTTTTCTGTGCTGCTTAGGCCATGACTATAACATTTGGCTCGCACGTCCGATTTTAAGGAAGTGGTGGTGGAAGTGACGTATATGCCGTAAAGCAGTCGAATTTTGTAGTTCTCTTTGTTCGCCGGTTACTACCCGAAACCCGAAGTTTAAAAGTACGATTAAAAACGCTACAGACCCCGTCAGGCTATGGCAGACGTGTCATTCAACCTATTGTAAGTCGATGTACCATCACAAGAGACGTGGAAGTATATTATGAAGGTTGAAAAGTTACCTGGTGTTACTTTAATGCAATAAGAAATATGATGAACTCAAGTTTCATGCCGTCCGGTGTCATGTTTTCATTCGGTTTGGATTCTCTTTTCTGTAGGCGACTACTCAGGCGGACATGGAGGCCCGTTTAGACTGCGGCCTGGTCAAAGGTCACGCGTATGCTGTAACTGATGTGCGTAAGGTGCGTCTGGGCACCGGCCTGCTGGCCTTCTTCAAATCAGAGAAGCTCTCCATGATCCGCATGAGGAACCCGTGGGGTCAGAGAGAGTGGAATGGAGCTTGGAGCGACAGGTTTGTGAACATCTGCAAGCTGTTAGTGTGTGGTTTATCGTTAAAGCAGACGGTACACATTTAAGCACGTCTGCATGATGTTCCAGCATACATTTGCACAACTACAGGAGACTAAATTCATTAGTGTTTTCTGCATTTGAAATGTCGCCGTTGTTTGTGCAATAGGAAAGGGAACTTGGCCTTATTTTAAGCTGGAATTTCCCCTGGCCTTCCTTGATGTAAATAGTTTGATTTACGACTAGAAACACTTCAAATGATCATCCAAACAAATTTCCCATTTGGTAGAAAGCATTCGCCTAATGCTAACATTTCCTAAACAATTAGGAAGAGAAATGATTTAAATCAAAACATGCTTCATAAATGGAAAAAGGATTAAAGTATAAACGTTATTGTGCACAATGCATAATGCACATGCAACCATGTAAAAAAAATAAAAAAAAGATGCAATGGAAAAAACAGGAAATGTGCTGACACAGAGACGCTTTGTTTCAAACCAACGATTGTGAGTGTTTTAAATGCTCTGTGTGTTTTTGTGCTCATGCTGCCTCCTACTGGAGGACAAGCTGAACATCAGGTGTCGTATTCAGTATTGTAAAGGTGCACTAAATTATTTTTTGTTCATGCTAATACAGCAATTGTCTGAGTTTATTCTGATCATGTTCACATTGCAAGATTTTGGGAGTGAAAACCAGATTTAAATGTGAGAGAATGCCCGAAATCAGGGGTCTTCAACCAAAAACCACTTTTTGGGGACCTTATAACATACATTTAATGCCATATTAATGTATTTACATTCTTTTTTATCATGCTTGCATTGTACTACATTAAAATATAATTATTTTAATGGATTGGCAGAGTCATATTGTTCATTAAATTTTAGTTGTACTAATTACATTTTTATGTAGAAGGGACAATCAATCATACATTTGAAGGAAACCTAATTTTTACAGTATTTTACAAAGCCCCGCACATATGCAGACAATTTTGTAGCCACGAGTTAAGAAATTGTTTCCATTACTTATTAATTTGCTCCCTCGTTTCAGTAAATCGTGGCCACGTTGTACTAATTCGTTTCCTCGTTACTAAAACAAGGGAACAAATTAATTAAACAAGGTAATGAATTATTAATTTGTGGCCATGATATTTTTTTCCCCTGAATCTCATGTGCGGGGATTTTTCTTTAAAACATAATTTGATTTCGATCCCAGATTAATTTGGTGAAAAAAAATTCAAATCTTTAAAAATGCAAAAGCAAACATTTTCAGTTACCAGAGCCATTTGTGAAATGCGTTGTTAGCAGGCATATTTGTCAATTGTATCATTCTTTATTACAGTGGAAATTGAATTACCACACTGTAATGTTGTTGTTTTTTCTGAATCCATTTGTGTTTGTCTCTGAATCTGTAGCTCAGAGGAGTGGAAGAGAGTCAGTAAGAGTGAGCGAGAGCGGTTGGGTGTGACCGTGGAGGATGATGGCGAGTTCTGGTGAGATTAATATCTTGACAGGTTTTGCTGTGTTTCAGGACTTTGTGCATTAAAATTGTGAAGGACAATCAGAAAATCTGTTAAACAAAGGAATATTCTGATCAAATCCAACTTAAGCTTCATCTGTGACATGGTGTCGATTACCACAGAAAATCATTTTGCATCTTTCCGCTTGTCAGTAGAGCGTTAAAAAATGGATTAAAAGCAGAAATGTGAAGCTTGTTAAAGCGCTTATACGAATTCGTCAGTGCAAAAATAAATGTTATCCTCCTGTTCTAGCATCTTTGCACATATCATATGAAAGTTACTGGGTTTACCTGGTTTACATGGTCATGACAGGAGCACTGAAACATTTTACAATATTACATTACATTGCATGTAACTGTTCACACAAAGTTAGTTTTATTGCATTAGTCATATTTGAACGTGCATAACGTTTTTGCGACTATACTTTTCAAAATAGTGTGTATTTTATTGTTTTGTAATATCCCATTTTATTTATTCATTCATTTATTCATTTTTAAAAACTTTAATCGATTATCTAAAAAATGATCTAATCAAATCTTTCTGTAATTAATCGCGATTAAGCACACCTAACATTAAAGTTTTCAATATTTTTTTATATTGTAATAATTTCACATTTAAAGGTGCTATATGTATTTTTTAGCGGCCTCTATCGGTGATGTTTCAGATTGCAACCAATTTTTACAAGAGCGCTCGTGCTCGAACACAAGAGCGAGCACTCATGGTACACGGCCATACTGAGACTTTCAACACACCGGAGAAAGCGTCACACAACATGCTGGAAACTCATGTAAACTCCCACTGCAACGTTACAATAATAGGCTACTTTTATCAGCTTGACGTTGAACTAATGCTCCATGCTCGTACCATGATAACGTTACATTGACTGCATTTAGCCGACATGTGGTGTTATCTAGAATTAGGCATTTCACTAACTATTCGTGTATCTAAAACAAAGCGGAGGTCTCCATAATTCAAACGCTCTGCCGATGTTGATCCGTGTTTTCGTCCTAAGTCGATCCGATTGACGTTTGGACTGACGAGGTTCAGCAGATAAAACTTTTTTTTGTTTTTTATATTTTTGTGGAGTTTGTGTTGGAGTCTGTGTTGTGCTGGAGGCAGGAGTTTTTGGGTGTTATCAGAGTCCATGTCGTCAGCTGCAGGGACGTCACGCCATTTGGAGCAGCCATCTTGACGGAATAGAAAATGCTAAACCACCGGTGATCATACAGCTCGTCGCAAAGTATTCCTATCATGCCCGAGCGATGCTGTGCATTTGGATGCGATCAGATACGTGATCCTACAAAAGGAATATCTTTATACCGTATCCCAAAAGAAACAAAACGGAGAAAAGTGGTTGGCGGCAATAAACAGGCAAAACGCATATGCATTCCTAGATCAGTTAATTCGTTAGGCTTATTATCACATTACATTCTTTCGTTTTCAAATACCAAAAGCTGATCTTGTATTTTATTTGACACTTCTTATAAATCGTTAGAAACACAGGTTGAGACAACAGTCTCAATGACAGTTTATCATACAGTGACAGTCAGTGATACGTATAAAAAAGCATATACCGGTAAGCATAGGCTATTATTTAATTTTTCTTGGATCAAACTAGATTAAACAAATTCGTTAAAGATACACTCAATCTTGTTGGTGATTTTGTTTTGTGTTTTTCCCTGTAAACTCAGTTTAAAAATTATTACTATAATTTGGTGATAAAAATACTTTGACCAACCTTTGCGGTGATGATTAAAAAATCATTTTCTTTTAATGAAACTCCAGTGTAGCGTGATGGGAAGTGAATAAGGTAGCTGTAATGTCACCGAACTCAATGTCAGGAAGTTTTTCTACATATTTAATGCCTGTAAAAAGAACTTGTGGTGCTTCATATGGATATTTGATTCCTAATTCCTTTATCTTCCTCTTGTATATTTATTTTTGTGATGCTAATAATAAGTGCGATGACATGACGTGGTGGGGGAAAAAAATCGATTCTGTTCAGTATCGAGATATTTTGCACCATGATTTTGCGCATGCAATTATATCAATACTGTAGCGCAAAGTATTGCAATATTTAGGCTAATTATACTAATAATTATATTATCAATGGATCTCTGAGTAGCCGACGGATGTATTCCGTCAAAATAGCTGACATGCGGCTAGGGGTCACGTGACTGGGAGATCCCTGTAGACTGTATATAAAAAGGAGAGAGGCTCGGGAGCGCGCATGCACGTCACATCCGATGGATTTTGCAGAAAATCCGACCTGGAGACTTCACATAGAAATAGGAATATTGGCCTTCAGAGGTAATAGCAAAACCCGACAAGTGGATCATTGTAATGTGTGATTACAACCCCTTCACACACAGGCAATAAAAAAAAGGATTCATTTTAGAAGAAAAGTTACATATAGGACCTTTAATCTCCAAATGAATGTAGAAACAACATAAAAACAGTAGCCTATATGTTAAGTATTTGTTTAATGGAATCTTTTTATGAAAAAAGGCCAGTATCACCGATACCAATACTGCTACTGATGGTCTCTATGAGATAATCTATTAGGCCTCTATTAGGCTTTTAAAAAATATAACAACTTTTAAAGTTTTTAAGTGAACTTAAAATAATCTTCACATAAACCCTTTATAATAAATGTCACATTTACCTGTGCCCTTCAATATATCAGGGCTCAATTTTTTCTGTTGACCCAGTCAGACTGGTTCAGATTTAGATTTGCCCATTGTTTTTGAGCCATATAACCTTGTAAACAGTGCTTTAAGATTTTCAGGTAGGTCTAACAGATAGGATATATACAGAAATTACTGCATAAATTATAAATTAAATCTAGATTAATCCTTATTAAAGCTACAAACGTTATTCAGTCAAGAGCAGTGAGTAATTTTCTCTTTTTCCTTTGTTCTTTGATTATCCTTAAAGACAGACAGCAGTGGGTTTATTAGGCTGCTGTCACTTTAAGACCTGACACACATGACTCTGCATCCCTTTTTCTCACAACTCTTTACGTTCATTTAAGACTTCATTCAGCTATTTTATGACTTGACATAATGGCCATTTTTGCATAATTTTGTGTGTTTTCGTCCGTTCAAGCGCTGTCTGAAGCTGCTTTCTGTGCTCACGAGTGTGTGCATGACAGACAGGAGATTGTTAGACGCGCGGCAGTACCGCACTGCCTTCTCTTTTGTGTCTTATCATGCTTGAATGATTTAAAAGCATTTGCATGAATAAGAGCATTATCATATAATGTGACGCTAGCCAAAGGATAACAGAAAAACAGATGTTGCGTTCATTGCCGTTAAATTTTTTTAAAATTGTGCCTAAATGAAATTCATTTTATTTCCAAAATAGATAAGTTGATATTTTCTGTGGTAATCAACCGCATGCTGTACTGCATATTGTTTGACTTTCATTTAAAGCTGAATTTTATGTATGTGAAGTATGCAATCAAGCCTTTTATCTTAGAATCAACTCGTGGACTCAAACTGAAACCCCTCAACTCTTCAGTATGTCATTGTCTTGTTATTGATGATCTTTCTTTATCGTACTGCTGTCTTAATCTTTCCTCTCTCAGGATGGATTTTGATGATTTCTGTAAGTATTTCACAGACCTGATTCTGTGCCGCTTGATTAATACGTCGTACTTGAGCATCCACAAGACCTGGGATGAGGAAGTGATGCAAGGCTCCTGGAGTCGCCACGACGACCCTTTAAGGAACCGATCTGGAGGCTGCGTTAACCACAAAGCCACGTTCCTCCAGAACCCACAGGTGCGACACTCATTCATAAGTGCGTGTTTGTGGTGTAGTGTCGTGTACTGAAGAGCGTCACTGTGTTTTTCAGTACGTGTTTGACGTGACGAAGCCAGAGGATGAAGTTTTGATCTGCCTACAGCAGCAGGACAAGAGAATCCGATCCAAAGAAGGGAAAGGAGAGAACGTGGCCATCGGCTTTGATATCCAAAAAGTATGTCAAGTCCCCTTTATTTGTATAGCACTTTAAATACACATTATTTCAAAGCAGCTTCATAACAGTCATAAACCGGGAAAGAGCAGAATTAATGGCAAATTCAAAATCTGCCATAAAGACATTAGTGTCATCATTCAGGTTGAGTCAGTGCAATGTTGAATCTATTCAGTTCAATAACATTGTAAAGTTCATCAATTATGAAACAAGTTCAATTCAGCTATAAGTAGCTCTACAGAAGACAATGTCATTATTCGACTCGAGTCTGTTCAATAGATATTTAAATGTGCATAAAAAACGAATGTAATGGAAACACAATTACTGCATAAGTCCCTCGATGCGCAACATACTCAAAGGACTCAACAGAGGATGTGATTGGATAACTAGACTAATTAGCGGACCAATCGCATCTCAAATGTTGGTTTGGTCGTTCTGAAATGCATTAGTCAAAGTCTGTCATCAAAATGATTTGGTATAATGACTTCCCAGAAGCCTCTCACATGATTGCATTCCCAAAAACCAGGCATCCAAACGCAAGATAACATGACAGAGTTTATTGCATTTCATCTGCGTGCTGAGACGCAAATAATTAATGATGTACACAGTGGCTTTCCCAACTGCCGCAACTTTTTATTACAGATATTTTGTCAATTTCCCAGGAAGTGATGATTTTGTTCTCTTGAACACATTTGATGGAAACGGTGCTTTATTCACAAATGTTTTATGCAATATTCTAATTTTGCACATATATTAAATTGACAACTTTGGATGGAAACAATGTTCGACTCAGTTCAATAACAGTGTTGATGTTGCAAAATTAGTGTCATTATTCAGCTCAATTCAGTTTTCAAGTTTTGTGCTCACCCAAAAGTGTCAGTGCTGTTAAATCGATAATTTTACTGAATTCGAAGTGTCTTTAACAAGCCGAAAGGTGACATTGGCAAGGAACCCAAACTCCATCAGGTGACAGAAATGGGGAAAAAAACGTTGGGAGTATGTACACATGCACACCTATTTGAGCGAGATGTGTTCTTTAATAGGTGGAGCTCAACCGGACGTACCGCATGCACAGTATTCAGAAAACGGTGGGCAGCTCCATTTACATTAACTCCCGCAGCGTCTTTCTGCGCAAGGACCTGAAGGAGGGCCGCTATGTCATCATTCCCACGACCTTTGAACCCGGCCTGCAGGGAGACTTCCTGTTGCGCATCTTCACGGATGTACCTTCCGGCTTCAAGTAATACGTAATATATTGGACATTATTTTCTTTTTGCGTTATGGATAATGAATGTATCGATGAAGATTGTGTGGTTTTAAGGGAGCTGACAGTAGACGAGCCGCCCCAGACGTGTTGGACGGGGTGTTGTGGGTATCCAAAGCTGGTCACGCAGGTGCACGTCCACAGAGCAGACGGACTCAAGGCTCAGGACTCAGATGGATGTAAGTCATGTCATGTTCTCTCTGTTTTTTTTTACACAATACACCTTATAGAAATGCTCTGGATAACAGTTCTGATCAAATATGATAGTTCTGAACACATTCAAAATTTCCGCCAATTTTTGCCTTCTGCCTATTCAAATCAGGCATGTTCATGATGCATGTAAGAACATCTAAGTTGTTTAAAATGGGGAGAAAAAAGTCTAGTTCAAAATGCATGTGCCAAGTTTTTAGGAGTGTAGTGTATTTGTATTTATTATTATTCATATTTGTTATTATATGCACTTGACATTTTTACACATTAAATAAAAAAGGCTTGTAAATGTTTTAAACATTTTTCAAGCGTTTGCTTTGAAGCACTTTTGAAATTCTTTTGAAACATTTACAACCATTTTTAAATGACTCTAAAATATTGTGTTAAAACTACCAAGGAAAATAATCAAATATTTTTCTGATAACTGAAATGCATGTCACTGTACACTAGCATTCAAATGTTTGGGGTCTGTAATAGAGCCCGACCGATATATCGGCGGATTTTAGGCATTTTCCTAACTATCGGCATTTATAATGGCCGATAAATGAATATTTTAAAAAATGCGGGTGCGGTGATTCATGTAAGGGTGGCGCTGCCAATAAAGCACCTAAAAGCTGTCACAAGAACTGGCAAAAGTAATGATTATGAATACAACAAATATAGCAAGGAGATATTTTAATTGTTTATTAATAAACAAGTGTTTTCCGTCAGTGTCAGCCAAAGATGAAGTTGACGATGCTGACTCGCGATCTTCAGTGAACGCGCGCCAGAGAGAAATGCACATTTCATACGATTACATGAGTCTGTCTGTCTTTCGTTTTGAATTGTTCTGTTTAAAAGTAGACATTTCAATATAGATATATTTCAATTCTCAGGTCTATACGCTGAGTTTCGGTTCATGAGACGAGCTCCAGTTCACCCGCAGGCGCCTCCGTGTCGAGATTAGGCTATCTATCGTCTGCTATATTTCTTATAAATTAAATCCAGGCAAATGGTTGATGAAACATTGATTAAAATTAAGATACAATAAATACAAAACGAAATTCACTTTGAAACGAAAGGTTTTGTGCTTTCTGTTTGATGTCTATGTGAAAGTTTCAAAGCATATTTTAGTGCCGCTTTCAGAGCGCTCACGTCCGTAGTGCTGAACTGTCGCGTCTGTTACATTGTTTTTTCCTCATAAATGCGAACACGAAAAATAAAATAAAATGAATATTTTATGTAGCCTGTGGAGACTGAGAGCCAACCCTTCTTCATCCGGTGGGTAGTAGCCTACCGGGTACTTGTGATTTGCGCTGTGTAATTCACAGAATTGATTTCTCTGCTACAAGCCTCTATCACGTATTGTGTGAGCTTATGACTATTGCAAGCGCGCAGCTGAGAAGTCCTGATTATATTGTCTGCTATATTTAGGCCTACTTCTTATTTATTAAGGCAATTGGTTGATGAAACATTGATTAAATGCGTGGCGCGAGCGATCTCCGACAGTAAACTGATTCTGCTTTATCTAGGGTGAACAGCTGTTGCGACGCGAGCAGTAACGGCCGCGTCCGGTGTAGACACAGTGTTAAAGCTCATTCTGCCTATAACGCTACGTTACAACATCAAGCAATATTCCAAAAATGTATATAATTATAACACTTTATATAGGGCCATTTTGCATTAAGAGTAGCCTAGTTTCACGTTTAGTACATTTTGCTTACTAATTATTTAAAATAGTATAAAAGTACTGTACATATGTAATTAAAAACGTTTTCATTATGATATTATTAATTTTTACTTTAGTAAAAAGATCTGAGTTCTTCCTCCACTGGTAGAGATTAGAGGAATTAAGAGTAAAAATAGAAGATAATAAGGTTTTGTCAGTGACACTTTTTATATATTTATTGATACAAGTTATGACTAAATTAAAAGACAAAGTCATTAGTGAAGATTATGCAACAGTATTTAGAATATAATATAACATGCAATGCAAACTAGTTTGGTTCCAGCTCAGCTGTATAATTCTCATTCTATCATTCCCCCTGCCTCCATTACATATCTGTGTCACACAAGTGTTTGATCACCACATTTGAGTGATCATTGCAAAACGTGTTTATAAAATATATTTATTCTGTTTATAGCTACTGTGTAAAGTACCCATCAAAAGTTTGTACACACCAATAGGAAAGTGTCCAAACTTTTGACTGGTATACTGTACTATAATACACATAAATAATATTGCTACTGTATTATAATATACACATAAATAATATCGGCCGATATATCGGTATCAGGCTTTTTTTACTCCCTAATATCGGTATCGGCATCGGCCCCCAAAAATCCATATCGGTCGGGCTCTAGTCTGTAAGATGTTTTAATGTTTTTTAAAGAAGTCTCTTATGCTCATCAAGCATTTATTTGATAAAAAATACAGTCAAAACTGTAGCCTACTATTGTGAAATATTACAATTTTAAATAACTGTTTTCTATGTGATTTATATTTTCAATTGTAATTTATTTGTGATGCAAAGCTCAATTTAACAGCATCATTACTCCAGTCTTCATATTTTTGTGGAAACTGATATATTTTTTCAGAATTCTTTGATAAATAGAAAGTTCAAAAGAACCGTTTTTTTTTCCTTTCAAAAAACATTTGAATAGAAGTGTACATGCTTTAATCTATCAAATTTATATTATTATAAATACTTTTATTGTATTTATGTGATTTTTTTTAATTGAACAAATCTTGAGATACCATAAAAGTATTCTCATATATATCTTTGATACCATTAAATGATCTGATATTTTAAGAAACTTTGAGACAGTCATAAAACTCTACAGCTGTGTTCTCTGTGATTGTCATTTCCTATTTCAGGATTTGCATGTCACATGACAACTTTTTGAATTTTTTTTAGCTTTTTAATAAGACAGTTACCAACATGTGTATAATTGAAAATAAGTGCATTCAGATCTTGTATTTTGAAATGAATTGACCCAGTAGTTTGTTTTTGAATGGCTGATTTTTTTTTTCTTTTGTTTCAGCGTCTGATCCGTACGTCATCATCAGCTGTGAGGGAGTGAAGGTTCGTTCTAAGGTGCACAAAGACACACAGACCCCAGACTTTGACGTGAAGGCTGTTTTCTACAGGAAGAAGCCAAAAGAGCCGATCTGCATTCAGGTGACAGTCTTTTAGGAATCAGTTGTTGCTTCCATCCACAAAATTCCATTGCGCAAAAATGGAATATCGCATAAAACATTTGCAAATAAAGCACTGTTTCCATCCCATGTGTTTAAGAGAACAAAACTGGAAAATCGGGCTGGTCCGAATACCATTTTTTTGAGCCTCGGAGGGAAATAAAAAAATAAAAATAAACGAGGCTCAAACATCTATTTTGTTTTATTTGAGCACTTCCGTCAATTAAACAATTAACACACTAAAGCATGTAAAGCATTGAAATAAATATCAGTAAATAATGGTAACTTAAAAAAACCCAGAGTTAAATATTTTAAAAAAACATTTGTTTTATATTTCCACACAAAGACACGTGATATAGCCTACCGCTCTGCGCTTTGAGAGGGATGTGGGACACGGGCAGGAAAGAGACCATCTCTTTTCTAATATCTTCATGTTTTCTACTTGTTGTAGAAGGTCTGAAGAGTGGATTTTATCTTCCACAAGGGCAAGGGCTGTGTTTGATTTTGCGCTGACAGAGAAAGCGAAACTAAAATCTCCCGCGTTATAAGTTTATTTATTACAAATAAACTTGACGCGCCTTACCAAATCTAATAACAAGCACAAACTGTGTTAAAAAGAATTTGACGTGAAAAGGTAGGCTATATTTCCTACAGCATTTTTTCTACTTTACCACAGTAAAGAATGCGAATAATAGGCCTAATTAAAAGCGAACCAAAGGAAGAGACGTTTATAATCCCCTGCGAAAATGGGTGAGACGTGAGTGAAGATTTGGGAAAAGAAACAAGAGATTCCATGTCCAGTGGAATAACTAATGGAATAACTCATTCGCTGATAATCGGGAGACGAGATCACAAAATACAAAGCCGACAAAGCTTACATTTCAGGGCTCACGCACAACTCTCATTCGTCATTAATCCAAATGTTTCCATGGCTGCGATGTAACATTTAATTGCTAACCTATTAATTATCTTTTAAACAAAGCTTTGTGCTTCACTCGCTTCATAATATTCATGTAAAACAGTTAAACAGTATTCACATACAAAACAAAACGTGTTTTGGTGGACCACCGCCAGTGCTACTCAGCCACCGCGGTGGTGCGGTTGTCAAGTTTACCGGCACAGCCCTAAATAACGAGTAAAAAGGCTTATATTCTATTTTCCACAATTTAAAAAGCAACGCAGCTTAACCCAAAATACAATCTCATGCAGTTGTGCACTCTAGACAGAGATTACTCCAGTTGCAGGGAACACTTTAGTAGGCTAAGAAGAAGCAAATATATTTATTAAGTATAACAAGGTTGGGCTCCTTCAACTGTCCAGAGACTGTCCATATAGCTAGGCTATATAAGATAATTGTAAAAAAGAGTATTGTATTTTGCCAGATTTTATAGTGTAAACATTGAAGCGCGAATGAGAACCGTTTCGAGGGGGATGGCCAGGTGTGCGAAAAAACAAACAAAAAAAACGAATATTCGAATTCCCAAAATTGAAAATCGAATACCAACCCACCGAACGAATATTCAGGTTCAGCCCTAAAATGCTCTCGTGTTATATTGTTTACATGCCTGGTGTTTGGGAATGCAATCGTGTAAGACCGTTCTGGGAGAAAATGAAACCAAATCATTTTGATGACTGGTTGTTCTGAAATGCTTGAGTCAATCCAACATTTGAGATGATGTGCAATGCGATTGGTCCGCTGGTTAGAACAGTTATCCAATCACATCCTCTATTGAGGCAACGCTGTTTGAGTTATTTGTTGCGCATCAAGGGATTTATTAGGTAATCATGTTTCCATCATATTTTATGCGCATGTCGTCTTATTGTATATCTGCCTCAATTGAGCCCATATGTTTTTTTATGTGCGTCTTGGCGTTTCTATCCAGCATTTGTGATATCCCAAAATTCACATAAAAATAGATGGATGGAAACATAACTATTGTCATGATGAATGGATTTCGTCGTGTTTCCCCCCTCTGTAATCTGCCTGTTATTCTCAAGTCTTTGTTTACTTTTCTGTTGTGCCTATCAGATCTACAACAAGAACCTTCTGAAGGACTCGTTCATGGGTCAGGCGACCTTGAGCGGTGACCTGTCTGACCTGCAGCAGCTTCACACCCTTCACCTGCGGGACAAAGGAAACCGGCAGAACAATGACCTCTCGGGTCTCGTCTCGGTGAGCCTCAGTACCAGCGACGTCCTGACCAACATCTGACGTCACTCACGGTCAACGCTGTTCCTGTGGTACTTTATCTGTTGTATTGCACATATATTTACATAGTCAAGGTTTTCTTTTGGGAATGTTTCTTGGAAGCAAAATGTACTTGTTTACAAGCACTTTTTACACCTTAAAGCTGTCATTTCCTGGTATTAGGTGCTTCCTATTGTGTTTGTCTTGGAAAATATATATATATATATATCGGATATTATAGGACATGCATCTATCACTATATGAAATAGCATGCTGTATATGCATTTATCTAATACCTCTTGTCACTATTCAGGTAAGGTAGTGCAGATATGTAGTAATGAATTTCAGTTTCATTTTTGTATGTTAACATAATTTGGCCAAACAATCAGTAATTGAAGGTAAAGGACTTTTTCTGTTTAATCTCTGTTTACACTAAATGTTTAAATATGGAGGGCATTCCTTTTATGTATTTTTCTCCTTGAAATATTTGCCATAATCTAGTGTTGATTTTTATGAACCTGTGCCAAGTTTGTCAAGCTTTTGTGAAATGAAACATTTCTCCAAATTATGTAGTGTTTTATCAGGTCTTTTCATGTGTTTACCAGAATCCAGGATTCATTTATTTTGAACATGGTCTTCGAAGTGAAGGTATCAGACAGACATGTGAAAATAGCTAATGTATAATGCATACAAATCTGTTTTAGAGCCATACAGCTGTTCTATATGATTTTAAACATTAAATATACATATTCTTCTATAAATATTGTTTACTATATGAAATGTTACACCCCTTGAGAGCTTATTATCTACTACACAGTGTAAAGACCAAGTATAGCCACCAAGTGTCAGTATGCATTCAGGAAGTGAGAAGCACGTCACTCAGCTTGTGGGTTTATTCCTTTTTTTCTCCTTTTTTATTAATTGTCTTTCAAATGGTAACATGCAAAACTAATGTACTTTTGTTTTAAGAATATATATATTTATTATACATTTATATAAATATTTAGATTTGGTCATTTTCTACCTCTTCACACACTAATGATAATGATAAACAAACTTCAACAACTAAATGTCATCATAGAGCCAAATTAAAAAATTATCCTGTTTTTTTTCCCTTTGATACAAAATGCCTAGACACTTTTTACATCTGTGCTTTTACATTTTTTACATCTGTGCATTTTACATTTCACATTTTACAATCACTATGAATTATTTTAATTTCATGTCTTACAATTTAATTCCGTGCAGTGCCTGTTGTCTGTTGTTTACAGATGAATAGATGTGCCTTATCAGAACGGGTAAAATAGCCAAAGAAATCTTGATCATAATCTGTGAAAATTTTAGTTTTTTTGTTTTATATTTTGACTGTTTTTCTCACTATTTGACAAAATGAAATAAAGTTTAGAATGTTCAGTTATTTGCCTGTAATTCTTTTTCTTGCACAAGTTTTGAACAGGGTTCCCATGATCATGTAAAACGTGGAAATAAATATATATACAGTGGGGAGAACAAGTATTTGATACACTGCCGATTTTGCCGTTTTTCCCACTTAAAAAAGCATGTAGAAGTCTGTAATTTTTATCATAGGTACTCTTCAACTGTGAGATTTAAAACAAAAATCCAGAAAATCACATTGTATGATTTTTTAGTAATTAATTTGCATTTTATTGCATGACAAAAGTATTTGATACATCAGAAAAGCAGACCTTAATATTTGGTACAGAAACCTTTGTTTGCAATTACAGAGATCATACGTTTCCTGTAGTTCTTGACCAGGTTTGCACACACTGTAGCAGGGATTTTGGCCCACTCCTCCATACAGACCTTCTCCAGATCCTTCAGGTTTCGGGGCTGTCGCTGGGCAATATGGACTTTCAGCTCCCTCCAAAGATTTTCTATTGGGTTCAGGTCTGGAGACTGGCTAGGCCACTCCAGGACCTTGAGATGCTTCTTACGGAGCCACTCCTTAGTTGCCCTGGCTGTGTGTTTCGGGTCGTTGTCATGCTGGAAGACCCAGCCACGACCCATCTTCAATGCTCTTGAAGTTCAAGAGATTTCCAGGACGCATGCGCGAGAACTGACATTCTTCTTCTACTACTATGTACAGCACGCGTCTTCCTCTGCTTGTAAGACGCGCGCTGTGTAGTGTGTAGTAGAAGAAGAATGTCAGTTCTCGCGCATGCGTCCTGGAAATCTCTTGAACTCTCGTCTCAGGCCCACAAGGAAGCAATGGAATAGTCGAATAAAGTCGTTATTTTTGTTTGTTTTTCGCACAAAAAGTATTCTCGTCGCTTGATAAACTTATAGTGGAGCCACTGTAGGCACATGAAATATTTAAACATTTTCTTTAATGACTTTCTGGGCCGTCAAGTATCATTCCCTTTGGCAGCATATGTAGCAGTGATCCACCTCTCAGATTTAATCAAAAATATCTTCATTTGTGTTCCGAAGATGAACGAAGGTCTTAAGGGGTTGGTACAGCATGGGGGTGAGTAATTAATGACTTAATTTTCATTTTTGGGTGAACTAACCCTTTAAGCCTGGACACTGCCCCTACAGTGGCAGCTCCCTCCAGTGCCTTTTTCAGAGGAACGGCAAAACCATCTGCTCTTAGCATTCCCCCATCCAAAGATTATATTGGGGAACTACAGAGGTGCTGGGCTAATCCCAAGTCACTTACTCATCATACCACAGCAAGCAGGGCCTTGGCAGCAACGCACGAACCAGACTCTTATGGCCTGGGTCAGATGCCGAAAGTGGATCTATTTATCGCCTCTTTTATCATATCACCGGAAGAGGCTTGGAGACCTAATGCTCGGTGCCCACGACCTCAGTGCAGAATAACGGACGATCTTCTTAGTCAAGCGTACAATACTGCAGCACGCATGGGTCGCATAGGGAATTCACTCTCCCATCTTATGCTGGCACTATCCCCATCTCTCCAACCTATTGGGGGCGATCCTTCAGCCCAAATACTAAGCGATGCATCATTGTAAGCATTCGCATTCATGTCAAGAGAGTTGGGTAGACTCATGTCAACACTCACTCAGGCACGCCGGCAAGTATGGCTGGCACAGTCTCCATTGTCAGAGGCCTGTAGGAGAACACTTCGTGACCTCCCTGTAGTCCCAGGCCAACTGTTTGGACCAGCGGCACAGCAAACTCTGGAACAGAGCATTCAGACGAATAAGACCAGACAGCAGCTGGCAGACCTAAGAGGAACTCCACCAACATTACAAGTTAGACAAGGGTATGGGGGACGGTATTCTACTCGCTCTCAACCTTTAGTTCGTTCTGGTGCTGTTCAGAGGAGCCAGCCAAGGCAACTAGATCAGCATGTGCAGTACCCCAGAGCACGAGGACAACAAGTATTTCGGGCTCCAAGGGGCAGGGCGTCAGGTCAGCGCCCCCCCAGAGACAATAAAGCCCAGGCTCGCAGGGCATGAAGTCCTGGGGCCAACCGTCGGACGTTTTTCACACCAGCAGCTCAATTTCTGGAAAGATAACACCTCAGACCCTTGGTTAATAGCAACGCTATCTCAAGGGTACAGGCTGCAATTCCGACGACGGGCCCCTGCTTTCAATGGGGTCAAGATGACTACTGTCAAAGACCCCAACAGCTCACTGGCATTGTCAAGACAAGTAACCGAACTCCTAGAAAAGGACGCCATAGAACCAGTAAAATGGTTAGCACGGCTAAATGGGTTTTACTCAGTGTACTATATAATCGCGAAAGAAGATGGCGGCGTAAGGCCCATTCTCGACCTTCGTGGCCTCAATCAGTCCCTCAAGGTTTTACCATTCCACATGCTACGCACAACAGAGGTCCTTCAGGCAGTCAGACCACTACAGTGGTTCACCACAATAGATCTGAAGGACGCTTATTTTCATATCCCAATTGCACCGCAACACAGACCCTTTCTCCGGTTCGCATTTCAAGGTCAGGTCTATCAGTTCCGAGTCCTACCATTTGGGCTGTCCCTGTCCCCTCGGGTGTTCACCAGATGTGTAGCGGCAGCGTTGTCCCCAATACAAGCCAGGGGGGTACAGGTGCTCCCTTATCTGGACGACTGGCTCATCTGTGCTCCATCTCAAGGGCAGGCAACAGAACACCCCAATCTGCTGATTGCCCATGTCACTCAGTTGGGTCTCAGGGTGAATTTCAGCAAGAGTCAGTTGATCCCATGTCAGTCAGTGAAATTCATAAGCATCACTCTAGACTCGAGATCAATGAAAGCATTTCCATCACCTCAGAGGGTGGACAGCATATTGCTCTTACTCCAGTGTTTTCGGAAACAGATCAAGCTGCCATTCAGAGCGGTCCTCAGATTGATGGGCATACTAGCAGCAGCAGCGGCATTGATACCACTGGGCCTACTTTCGCTGCGCCCTTATCAGAGATGGGTAAACAGTCTTCACCTGAACCCCACATGGCACAGGAGCAGGCTGGTCAAAGTTACAGAACGATGCCTTCTTACCTTGAAACAATGGAAAAGGAGGTCATTCCTGACGAAAGGGGTAGCTCTGGGTGTGATTCCCTCTCGCCGGGAGATAATACAGACAGATGCTTCACTAAGTGGCTGGGGGGCAGTGTGGCAGCACAGGATGATCAGGGGATTATGGAAACCCGAGCAAGCCACAAAAGACATAAATACCCTGGAGCTCCAAGCAGTGCAATTAGCTCTGAAGCATTTTGCGCCGGCCCTAAAGAATCGCCATATTCTCATCAGAACGGACAATACATCGGTGGTATATCATTTCAACCTTCAAGGCGGCACGAGGTCCAGTCAGTCCTTGAGAGTAGCACAAGACCTCCTGACATGGGCCTTCCCTCGATTCGCAAGCGTCGGGGCGATGCATATACCGGGAGTGTCGAATGTGGTGGCAGACTTCTTGTCTCGCCACAGACCTTTGCCAGGAGAATGGAGACTCAATCCAGAAGTTGTTCAGATGATTTGGCGACGATTTGGCAGAGCACAGGTGGACCTGTTTGCCTCAGAGACCTCGACCCACTGCCCCCTGTGGTTCTCCTGGACAGAGAAGTCCAGCCCGTTGGGTCAGGATGCGTTAGCACATGCCTGGCCAAATCTTCTACTCTATGCCTTTCCCCCGAACCCCTTAATTCTGCCAACTCTCCACAGAATTCTTCAAGGGAACCACAGGATGCTCCTAGTGGCACCGAACTGGCCAGGGAGACATTGGTTTCCAATGTTATGCAGGCTTCTCAATGGGGAGCCCTGGAGCCTACCCAGGAGGCAGGACCTGCTCCTTCAGTTGCAGGGGCAGATTTGGCACTCAAACCCAGATCGGTTACAGCTCTGTGTCTGGCCGCTGAAGAGCCAGAATTACTGTTGAAGTCTTGTGATGTTAAGGTGCAAAACACAATCCTGAATTCTAGAGCACCTTCCACCAGGAATATCTATGCTTGCAGGTGGAAGCTTTTCACTGATTGGTGTACATCAAGAAGTTTGGTCCCAGACCACTGCCCAGTGCCAATGGTGTTATGTTTTCTGCAGTCCCTGCTAGACAATAACAGGGCTCCCTCTACCCTAAAGGTATATGTGGCTGCAATTTCTGCCCAGCATGTAAAAGTAAATGGTCAATCACTAGGGTCACATATTCTAATCACCCGCTTTCTGAAAGGTGCTCAGCGATTGCACCCTGCTCCAACTGTTAGAGTACCCGCATGGGACCTCAGTCTGGTTTTAAGAACACTTGCACAACACCCATTTGAGCCAATGGAGCATTGTGACCTGAAGTAGCTTTCAATAAAGACTGTATTCCTTTTGGCAATAACGTCAGCCAAACTTGTTGGTGAGCTCCACGCATTGTCAACCAATACGTCATGTATGCGTTGGAATGCGGATGGAACAATGGTGACATTGTGGTCTATGTGACGCTAAAGAGCTGATTTGAGCTGATTTGTGTCACTGTTAAAATAAAAACGGCGAAACTGAGAAGGCGAATTCAAATTAGGTGACGAAGAGCGGCGGAGAATGCCGAGTGAATGCGGAAGAGCGGCGGAGGATGCCGAGTGAACGCGGAAGAAAGTGAAACTCACATGCAGATGCATGCACGCAGAACTAGAGTGCAAAGAAAGTGAAAGACGCGATTGTTTCAGTGCATTAACTACGCAAATTCAATGCACGAGTAATTTCTGCATGAAGATGACGCATGCTAAAAAGTTAAAAGGCTGAGGAGATCGAACGACGGGAAACGCATCAGCAATCGGTCATCTCAGGGACACTGATGGTATGACAATATCTCTCTTTAATTGCGTGAAGGACTGATTATCACTTAAATCCATGTTATTTGACCATTATAATGTACAATATAGAGGAGAACAGTGAATTATGTCATGCTTTGGTTGTTATTAAAGTGCA